TATAAAGGTTTTATGTAATTTTTGTCTACTAATAGATTTAGTTTTTTTGGAAAGGTGTTTTGTCAGTTGAAAATCGGTATGTTGTTAAACAACAGTGCAATCTATTTAACGCACTCTATTCTATCCCTCACAGCCTTGATTTCAATTGTAATAATACATTATGACTATTTGTACTATATTTTTGATCAAATAAATGCAGCCTTGTGAACATAAGAGACTTTTTTCAAAAATATTTCAAAGATTTGATAATTTTGTGAACTCTGTTGTGTAATAAGTAATTATACTAATTTCAAATTAGAGTCTTGATTGTCATTGGTTAAACTGTAAAATAAAGTTTTCCAGCTGAGACTGAGATTTGGAGTGAGGGGAGGGCCATAGCATACCTCTGTGACACACTGAAAATCTGATGCAATGTAATCCTTGGCTGCTTTTTGTGGAATAGCCTCCTCTTTTGATCAATAATTTAATGTAATCCCCTGAAAATGTGGTTGTAATGTTCATAAATGGCTCCGGTAAACCACTTTTACTAAAATGGTCTTTTGAAAATGGCACTTTCTTTTTTTTCATTAAAATAGTTATTGTTTCTTTATTCGTCTGACACCAGGCATCCTTCACAAGGGCAGCGGTGAGAACATCTTTGTGTCCCAGCAGCCACCCATCATCTCAAGCATCATGGGTAATGGGCGTCGGCGAAGCATCTCTTGCCCGAGCTGTAATGGCCTGGCTGATGGAAATAAGCTGCTGGCACCTGTAGCCCTGGCAGCAGGCATTGATGGCAGCCTTTATGTCGGAGACTTGAATTTCGTACGCAGGGTTTATCCCAACCTCAATACCACACGCATACTGGAGCTCAGGTATTGAAAAAGGGCCAGAGGAGACTTTTGTTTTACTCATAATATATATATATTTTTTTATTCTTATATCAGTATACTCTTAAATTAAATATACAATATATTTTTACCATCTCAACGTATTAGCACCATAATTGTGATTCTTGTTCTTTTCCTCATTTACAGAAATAAGGATTTTCGACATAGGTGAGCCTCTAACTTTAAGTTTGTCTCTCACATTTGACTCGTCAGTTGGATTATTCACTCAATATAATGATAGAGCAACACATTATAGCTAATTACATAATTGCAAGACTGACTCCGTAATTACCTAATTTTTCGTAGTAACAACCCGACTCATAAGTACTTCCTGGCTGTGGACCCAATCTCCGGGGCTCTGTTCATCTCTGACACAAATTCACGGCGAATCTACAAGGTGCGATCACTCACAGGGGGAAGACTTTTGGCCGACAATGCCGATGTGGTGGCGGGCACAGGAGAGCAGTGCCTTCCTTTCGATGAGAGATGCGGGGACGGGGGAAAAGCTGTAGAAGCCACTCTCATGAGCCCCAAAGGTGAGGTGGTAACATTAAAACCACTGATTTAGCTTCTGGAATGCTTCAGTTTTAAAGCTTACTGGATGGGTTATCCCCCTCACATCAGTTGAAATCACGCTTACTTCTTCATACGTGTCTAAGGTGAAGAAATGTTTCTGCAGGCTGTCTTTACATCTGTTTCCTTTGTAGAATTGACACCTAACAAGGATAAAAAGAGCCTTATCCTCCAGCTGCTTCCACAATCACAGAGAACGTTCAACCTTAAGCTATTAATTAATTTCTGAATGTGCTATGGGGAGTGCGAGTCTCTGGCTTCGATTATTGGAGTCTCTTGGTATTCTCTCTCTCTCTCTGTCTGTCTTTCAAAGATAATGTTACTTAATGTGCTGGCTCTTTTAACTCTCAGATGTTACAGTTCAGAGCTGTGAGTGAGCATATTTCTGTATTATACAGAGTTAGTGTTTGGGTAGATCAAATAGAAAGAACAATCACAGTCAGTTTTCTTGAATCTTTCATTTTCTCCTAGATCAGTGGTTTTCAACTGGTTTGGGCATGGAACCCTAATTTTTCCATGGTCATTAAGCCATGACCCTATTTTTTAGGAATTTGACCTAATTCCTACAAAAAAATACAAAAAAATAAAACGTTTTTTATACTATATATTTCCAAACATTCCTTTTGCCATTAATTGTGTTAATCCAGTGAGATTTTTGTATGGACAAGGAGTCTGACAACAGCCGGTATGATCCACATTGAGATCTGACCATCATTCGAGTCTGTCTGGGATTACATGAAGAAACTGAAAAAACTGAGACAGACTAAATCCAGAAGAATTGTGGCAATGTCTCCAAGACGCTTGAAGAAACCTTCCTGCAAAGCTACCTGCAAAACTATGTTCAAGTGTACCTGGACAAAAGCTGTTTTAAAAGCAAAGTGTGGTCACACTAAATATTGATTTGATTAAATTAATAGATGTTAATTGATAAATAAAATCTATGACATTATTTTTGAAAGCATCCTTTACATTTTTATACAAGTGCCTAAAAATGTTCACAATACTGTAGCTTTGCAGGAAGGTTTTCTTTATAACTCTGTCAGTTGTCTCATTTGTGTTTAGTTTTTCTGCTTAAAGAGGAGTAACATCTGAGACAGAGATGATAAGTAAAATGAGAACTGGATTAATTCTCCTGAGCTATGAAAGCGCAACATCTGAACAATTAAATTTTCCTCTAGAGATTCTCATTAGCTTGTTATATATAAACTGAAATTCATTTTAAAGGGTTTATACTAGTTCATGAATTTTAATATTATGTACACCAATGATTATAAATAAAAATGTATTTAAAAAACGTATTAAATCTCCATTTATAAATGTGTATGAAATATCATTTCTACATACATGCAATGGGTGAAGTTCAACATAAACTGGAATTAAAGCACAACATATTCAACCAAAACAAATATATAGCAATGAAAAAAGGAAAGATAAAGGTGCAATGATAAGTTAGAGCAGGTTTTGAAAGTGAAATCCAGGTTTGGTGTAAAGAAAAAATAGCCAGTCTGACACCAAACTGTCAAGGATATCACATTTTCTGTATGTGACGTTGAATTTGAGGTTCTGGAGTGAGAGAGAGAAAGTAGAGAGGTGACAGACTACACAGGCCTCATTACCGATTCCCAGATGACTTCACAGTGAAAAGGCTCAGTCAAGTGCACTCAGTCTCTCCCCTCATGCTATTTGTCTCCCCATCTTTTTGTTCAAAGTCCCTCTGCACCATACATTTTATGAGCATCTTCTTGTCAGCACTTTGAGATATTCTCGCCTGCTCTGCCTTCTGTGTCTGATAAGGGGAATTGATGGGTTGACACAGGAGTGAGACTTGATGGACGTGTATTATTTGCAAGCTTATATAGGCCAGGGACTTGGGAGGGAAAGACAAATTGAGAAGAGCCTGAAGATAAACTTAGAACAGGTTGAAGCCAGATCAAAGATTCACTTGGTCTGATCATTAAGAACCACAGAAGACAAAAATAAACAAGTCTAACAGGCAAGGGGTTACTGAGTCTTTGTCACCCCTGAACTTCCTAGCTGACTCTTAACCTGTTGGTTTCTCTTTTCAGGTATTGCTGTAGATAAGAACGGGCTTATGTACTTTGTGGATGCCACCATGATTAGGAAAGTGGATCAAAACGGCATCATCTCTACTCTACTGGGTGCAAACGACCTCACTGCTGTGCGCCCACTGAGCTGCGACTCCAGCATGGATGTCAGTCAGGTCAGCATGTCGACAGCCCATGTTATAAATTATTTGCAGTCAGAGACAGGAACTTGGATGGTTCATTTGATCACAAAATCTACTTCTTTAAATCTTGAATCTTCAAAACAGACCCTCAAAGCTAAAAATGCAGATATACAAGTATTAATCATGTCTAGCAGGCTTGCAAAACCTTGATCAGAAGCCCAGAAAATGATACAAGAAAAGTCCTTGGTGAATCTGAAAGATTAATTTCAACTTTAATTCATTTTGTATCCAGGTGCGCTTGGAGTGGCCCACCGACTTGGCAGTAAACCCCATGGATAACTCTCTTTATGTGCTAGAGAACAATGTTATCCTACGCATCACTGAAAACCACCAAGTGAGTATCATCGCGGGGCGGCCTATGCACTGCCAGGTGCCTGGCATCGACTATTCCCTCAGCAAACTTGCCATCCACTCTGCCCTGGAGAGTGCCACGGCTATTGGCATCTCCCATTCGGGCGTGCTCTATATCGCAGAAACAGACGAGAAGAAGATCAACCGTGTGCGGCAAGTCAGCACCAACGGAGAGATGTCGCTGCTGGCTGGCGCTGTGTCGGAGTGCGACTGCAAGAATGATGTCAACTGTAACTGCTTTGCAGGAGACGACGGTTACGCTACAGATGCCAGCCTCAACTCCCCCATGTCTCTGGCTGTCTCACCGGATGGCACACTCTACATTGCAGATCTCAATAACATTCGGATCCGCGCTGTGCGCACTAACCGACCTGGACCTTCAGCGCTGGGGCTATATGAGGTCGCGTCCCCTCAGGAACAAGAGTTGTATGTGTTTAACGAAGAGGGTCTCCACCTACAGACCATCAGTCTTGTGACAGGCCTGCCCCTCTACAACTTCAGCTATGGCCCTGATGGAGAGCTGGCCACAGTGGTGGATAACTGCAATAATACAGTAAAAGTGCGTAGGGATGGGGCAGGGCAGGGTGGAGCGGGACTGCTCAGGCTCATCCTACAGCCTGATAATCAGGTGGTTACACTGGGACTGGATCCTGCAGGAAGCTTGCGCTCTATCTCTGCTCTCAACCAGGAGATCGTTCTGCTGGGATACAATGGAAACACTGGCCTGTTGGCCACCAAGGCAGACGAGACGGGCTGGACAACCTTTTATGAGTAAGTGTTTGTGGTATATGACACGTTGTGTGTACATTAAATTCTTCATCTAGACTCAGCAGAAGTTATATGTAGCATTTTCTCTGTTACATTCAGCTTGGAGAGTCAAAATGCCCAACATTATGCTCGGAAAAGCACTTAAAAAAATATCTACATTTATATTCAAATCCACAGCTTGAATGGAAAATAGAAAGGTTTGACAAAATGAGGGTGTAAGATGTAATTCAATTCACATTTATTTGTATAGTGCTTTTTACAATAGACATCGTTTCAAAGCAGCTTTACATAAAGTGCATGAGCCCACATTACAATTTAGAGTGATCTGTTATCAGAGGTAACTGTCAAAGTTATACAAAGTTAATGATAAACATTCACTCTTAAGCAAATAAAATGCTGAAAAACAATAAAAGTCAATAAAACAAGTCAAAACTAACATTACTTACGGATACAATCTGATAAAACATCTACAGATGTTTGCAGAGACAGGTGTTTAAAACACTGCAAATTATCTTCTTTGGTGATTAAGCATATACTTGCTTACAAATGCTTGAATTGCACTTTTGTGTCTTTTTGCAGTATACCATTCAAAAGTTTGGGGAAGTACTTTTTTGAAAGAAATTAATACTTTTATTTAGCAAGGATGCATTAAGTTGATCAACAGTGACAGAGTAGACATTTATAGTCACAAAAATGTATCACAGTTCCCACAAAATTATTTTTTTAAATTCATATCAAAATATTGAAAACTGTTTTCAACATTGATAATAGTTAGACACAAGTCATCAAACACAGTATGGTTAAAAGCTAGAAGACTATCCTGTAGGTCGGACTATCATTTATTTAACTTTGAAAGGAACGCTAGAAAAGTTATTTCCTGCCGAGTCCTGTTCCAACCTGGCAACACACCTGCCTTTAATTTCCAAAGGAACCTGAAGATCTTGATTAACTTTTTCAGGTGTGTTTGATTAGAATTGGAACACTCTGCTGGAAAGTAAATCTCCAGGAAGAGGACAGAGCAACCCAGCTCTTGATAATGCACAATTCCCCACACTCCACTGCACTGGCATAGACATCAGCCAGACTGTGACAGATCTGTGGCAGGATCCAGATCTACTCCCTAATGTAATGTTACACAGAGAGAGAGAGAGATACAGGGATAACACTGAACCCATATGGAGTCATTGTCTACACATTACTAGACCTTTCAGTCCTTGCCCTCTACTACTATTAACATCTACATTAAAAGTAAAAACATTTTCAAACACCTGTTTGTTTGTTTGTTTGTTAATTACTTTACATTAGTATTAAATAAATCAGAAGTGCATGATGTCTTTCTCTTTTTCTTAGATGGCTTGTTTTCAGTTGGGCTAACTGGCATCTAAACCTTTTTCTTAAACCAAAACTGCCTGACCTTCTAGATCCAGCAAACCTTATTAGACTTGTTTTAAGCACGGACATAACTTTTTTTTGTGTGGTTATTTTGGACATAATTATATTAAGTTCCCAGTGCTTTACTTTAATATGAACTTTAAAAATGGCTTTCCCTAACATTTAGTATATTTGCAGGTATGACAGTGAAGGGAGGCTAACCAATGTGACGTACCCCACGGGAATGGTTACAAGTCTGCATAGAGAGATCGAAAAATCCATCAACATTGACATTGAGAGCTCCAACAGAGATGATGACGTCACTGTTATCACTAATCTTTCGTCGGTAGAAGCCTCCTATACTGTTGTGCAAGGTATGTCGGCTCAGTAGCCGTTTTTGAATATATGGGTTTTCATAAATCATTTAGAAAATGATTATGTGCTCAGTTTAGTTGATTTAAAATGTCGTTTCACTCTTTAACTTAATTGTTTTATATATCAGTGCCTACAAACTTACACGGCAAGATATTGATACCCCGACATTCATGTGGGAGGCTAGAAGCGAAAGTACTGTGTGATTCAGTGCAGAAAACATCATTTGTTTTCTCTCCCAAGCCTAGCACTACAGTTGTGTTTTGCTGTGATGCATATCATTTGAGACAAATTCATTACCTTATCCCAAGTAAATATTCACCATCTTCATCTGCCCTCAACCACAAACCCCACTTTCCCAGAGCTTATTTCATCTGTTAAGATGAAAGAACAAAAGACAAAGGGAGAAAGCTAAAATGTTTTACTTCCTTCCCATGGCAGGCTAAACAAAAAAAGTAAAACTTCAAAACAACCTGACATAACACAGGATGGGGTAGGAACCTTTTGAAGGAAATACAGAGGATTTAGTCCAAGGAGAACGTCCCTCAGATGATGCTTTTGAATCTAACCTTGACACGCGCATGAGGCGAATAATAAATTGACTAAATGCCTTTAAAAGCTTCCTTATAAATTATGAGCGATATTATCTACAATTATGAATGCACCTTCTGCTCATAAATTAGTTTCATGGATTGTAATTTATTTATAGTGGGTGTTTTGAAGCATAATAAATGTTTGTGGCACTCTGAAACAAAGGGATTTGGGGATCCACATCATTTGTTATGAACAAAGCACTTCTCTTGTTATCTTTTATGATCCTAAGATAGACAACCAGACTGTTTTTGAGCTTATAAATGCCCCACAGCCCTTTCATGAGTTCAAAATAAATCAAGCCTTTTTTTTTTTTTTTTTTTGTCGTTTTGTCCTCTTGTCATGTTGATCATTTGTCATGAAACATTTTTTGCTCTTAATTTTATGGTAATTTTATGTCACTCTATTGCCCCCTGCAGATCAAGTACGGAACAGCTACCAACTGTGTAACAATGGCACACTAAGAGTAATGTACGCCAATGGGATGGGAATCAGCTACCACACTGAGCCCCATATCCTGGCAGGATCAGTGAGTCCCACCATCGGCCGCAGGAACATCACCCTTCCCACTGACAACGGCCTGAACTCCATCGAGTGGAGACTGCGCAAAGAGCTGGCCAAGGGCAAGGTCACTGTGTTTGGCAGGAAACTTCGGGTGGGCACTTTGCTCTAAGATTTTAATTACTGTAATTATGTACATTATTTTCGCATTTCTGTGCACATTGCAAGCAAAGTTGTGCAGATCCTGCTTGATCTAATAGATCAACTAATCAGTAACCAAATCATCTCACCAAATGGAGTGGTTTTCATGCCAAATATTTGTGCAATTTGCAGGCACATGGGCGCAATCTACTGTCAATAGACTTCGACAGGAACACACGGACAGAGAAGATCTATGACGACCACAGGAAGTTTACTCTGAGAATCACGTATGATGCCCAGGGCAGACCAGCAATATGGCAGCCCAGCAGCAGCCTTGCAGTGGTGAATGTGTCGTACTCCAGTACAGGCCAGCTTGTGGGTCTGCACCGAGGCAGTATGAGTGAGAGAACAGAGTTTGACCCGCTGGGACGAATACTCTCACGCTCTTTTGTAGATGGAAAGGTGTGGAGCTACAGTTACCTAGACAAGGTGAGATTATTGATTAAAGTGAGGTTTAACACTTTAGTGTAGGGTCCAATTCTCACTATTAACTAGATGCTTTTTAGCATGCATATTACTAGGATATTGGCTGTTTATTAGCACTTATAAAGCACATATTAATGCCTTATTCTGCATGACCATACATCTCTTAATCCTACCCAATACCTAAACTTAACAACTACCTTACTATTCATAAGCAGTTATTGAGGCAAAAGTTGTAGTTAATAGTTAGTTAATAGTGAGAATTGGACCCTAATCTAAAGTGTGACCGAATAATGTTTTCATAATTGAATGGCTTTTCTTTAGCCATTGAAATAAATACATTTTTAATTCTTCAACACTATTTTTTCCTTGCTTTCCAGTAAAATATTGGAATGTCTTGAAGCGTGTATTTGACACAATTTAGTGATATTCATGCATTTATGTAATTAAACTAACTAAACTTTGTTTTGTAAATTTTGTATCTTCTTGTTTTAAAAACACACCATATAATACAAAATTCATTCAGTAATTGTTTTTTAATTGAATTTTCCAACATTCTGAGCTCTATGATGCCTGATTTCATTTCGAATTATGACAGCTTGTTAAAGATGTTGTTGCTAATTAATATGAATGTGATAATGATGTTCTGAAAACATTTTTCTCTACAGTCCATGGTGCTGCTCCTGCAGAGCCAGAGACAATACATCTTTGAGTTTGACACGTCTAACCGCATCACGGCTGTCACCATGCCCAGTGTCGCCCGTCACACCATGTTCACTCACGTCTCCATCGGCTACATACGCAACACCTACAACCCACCAGAGAGCAATGCGTCCATCATCTACGACTTCAGTGAGGATGGACGTCCTCAGGCCACGTACTTCCTGGGTACTGGGCGTCGTGTCCTCTACAAATACGGCAAGCTGGCCAAGCTCTCAGAGATCTTGTATGACAGCACAGCCATCACCTTTGGCTACGACGAGACAGCTGGGGTGCTAAAAATGGTCAACTTGCAGAGCGGTGGCTTTTCTTGCACGATTCGCTATCGTAAAATGGGTCCCCTTATCGACAAACAGATCTATCGCTTTTCAGAGGAAGGTATGGTGAACGCACGCTTTGATTACACCTACCATGACAATAGTTTCCGAATCGCCAGCATGAAGCCGGTGATCAGCGAGACGCCACTTCCTGTGGATCTGTACCGCTATGACGAGATCTCCGGTAAAGTGGAGCACTTTGGAAAGTTCGGAGTCATCTATTACGACATCAATCAGATAATCACCACTGCTGTGATGACCCTCAGCAAGCATTTCGATGCTCACGGGCGAATCAAAGAGGTTCAGTATGAGATCTTTCGCTCTCTCATGTACTGGATGACAGTGCAGTACGACAACATGGGCAGAGTAATCAAACGAGAGCTAAAGATCGGCCCGTACGCCAACACCACGCAGTACCGCTACGAGTATGACGGTGACGGACAACTCAGCGGCGTCAAAGTGAACGATTGGTCCACTTGGCGCTACAGCTACGACTTAAACGGCAACCTGCATCTGCTCAACCCGGGTAACAGTGCCCGACTCATGCCGCTCCGCTATGACCTTCGAGACCGCATCACACGGCTCGGTGACGTGCAGTACCGTCTGGACGAGGACGGTTACCTCAGCCAAAGGGGTGGCGATGTGTTTGACTACAACTCTAAAGGCCAGCTGGTGCGCGCCTACAGCCGTGCAGCTGGAGGATGGAGCGTGCAGTACCGTTACGATGGGCTCGGACGCAGGGTGTCCACTAAGAACAGTCTGGGTCAGCACCTCCAGTTCTTTTATGCTGACCTGAACAACCCGACTCGGGTCACGCATGTGTTCAACCACTCCAGCTCGGAAATCAGTTCTTTGTACTATGACCTGCAGGGCCATCTGTTTGCCATGGAGGTGAGTAGTGGGGAGGAATACTACATCGCCTCTGACAACACCGGTACGCCACTGGCGGTCTTCAGCAGCAACGGGCAAATGATCAAACAGGTGCAGTACACTGCTTATGGGGAGGTGTATCACGACTCCAACCCTGAGTTCCAGCTCGTCATCGGCTTCCACGGAGGGCTTTATGACTCACTAACCAAGTTAGTGCATTTCACGCAGAGAGACTATGATGTTTTAGCGGCCAGGTGGACATCGCCTGATTACACCATGTGGCAGAAGATCGGCAAAGATCTGGCACCCTTCAACCTGTACATGTTCAAGAACAACAACCCGCTCAGTGACATGCTGGATGTGAAGAATTATGTCACAGGTGACTATGATTTTATGATTGGGTGCCTTTGCAGCTTTGCCAACTTGTTCGTTAGTCAGTTTTACATGTTAATTTAGTTCTTTAAGACTTTTTTTTAAATAATGTAATAAAATAAATACAGGTTTTTCTTCTCATGTTCAATGATATGGAAATAAAACAAACAATGTATTCAGAGACGTAATCATAATGCACATCATATACACTACCGTTTAAAAAAAAAAAGTATCTTATGCTTACAAAGGCTGCCTTTATTTGATCAAAAACAGTTTTATTACTTTATTACTATTAATTACATTTATTATAACTGTTTATATATGTATATATATATATAATATGGAATTTATTTCTGTGATGGCAAAGTTCAATTTTCAGCATCAATACTCCAGTCTTCAGTGTCACATGATTCTTCACAAATCATTTTAAGATGCTGATTTGGTGCTCAAGAAACATTTCTTATGATTATTTCTTATTAAATTTCGGTAACACTTTATTTTATACGGTGTCCTTGTTACATGTTACATTTAGTTACTGTAGTAATAACTATAAATTATGCTTTACATACAACTAACCCTAAACCAACCCCGGCAACACTTAAATTTACAGTGTTAATTTTAAATAGTGTTACCTAAATTTCTTATTAAATGTTAAAAACAGTTGTGCTGCTTAATATTTTTGAGCAAACAGTGATAGTTTTCTCAGTATTCTTTGAAGAATCGCATTTCTATTTATAATAGAAATATTTTGTAACATTATAAAAGTCTTTACTGTAACTTTGATCAGTTTAATGTGTGCTGAATAGAAGTATTCATTTTTTTTTTTATAAATATAAATGTAAAGGCATATAATACAATTAATTTGATTCAGAGTTTTACTTGATTGACAGCCCTATATCCAGTGAATTAATTACCCTTTTTATTGGAAAATCACAGTTTAAACGCTCCTTTTCTATGTATATTTCATTGCAGATGTGAAGAGTTGGTTGGTGATGTTTGGCTTTCAGCTCAGCAACATCATCCCAGGCTTTCCCAGACACACACTTTACTTTGTGGATCCGCCATATGAGCTCCTCGCCAGTCAAGAAAGTGAAAACGGGCAGGTGAGTCACTACGTTAATACCATAGTAAATCTTCAGAGGAATTATTTTTGTATTTCCAAGAGTAGCAGGTCAGTGCATATTGTACTATGCGATCTTGCTTCCATTTACCAAGGCCTTAAATTGTCTTCTTGCAGCTAATAACCGGAGTTCAGCAGGAAGCCGAGCGGCACAGCCAAGCTTTCATGGCTCTGGAGGGACGGCTTCTTGACAAAGAGCGCAAGACCACACACGAGAAACCTGGCCACTGGTTTGGCACGAGTACCCCCATCATTGGAAGAGGAGTGATGTTGGCGGTGAAGGAAGGCCGTGTGGTCACAGGGGTCTCGAGCATGGCCAGCGATGACAGCAGGAAGGTGGTTCTAGTGCTAAATAGCGCTGTCTACTTAGATGGGACGCACTACACGCAGGACGGCCTTGATTGTCATTTCTTTGTGAAGATAGGCTCAGCTGACAGTGACCTTCTAGCTTTGGGACTCACCAATGGACGTAAGGCACTAGAAAGCGGGATCAACGTGACGGTAAGCGGTCGATCGCGGCGTGGGGTCACCGTTGAGTTCCGGGTTCCATCTCTGTCTCTGAGTGTACGTTACGGTTTGGCGTCAGACGTGCTGGATGAGGAGAGAGCCCGGCTGTTGGAGTTGGCGCGGCAGCGGGCGCTATCGGGCGCCTGGTTACGAGAGCAGCAGCGGGCACGGGATAATAAAGAGGGAAGTCGCTTGTGGACTGAAGGAGAGAGACAGCAGCTCCTTTCAACAGGGAAAGTGCAGGGGTACGACGGGTACTACATTTTACCAGTGGAACAGTACCCTGAATTAGCAGACAGCAGTTTCAACATTCAGTTCCTGAGACAGAATGAGATGGGGAAGAGGTAACAGTCCAAATCGTTTTCTTTTCCTGTTTCTTTATATTTCGCTTTCTCTCTCCGCTTATACCTTTACAGTTTTCAGTTGTTTTTTCTCTCTCTTGCTTCGTCTTTCTCTTTTTCCCCCTCACTTTCTTTCCGTTATCTCCTGCACCCATGGAGAATAATTGAACTAATGGGGAAACTCACTGAACGCTGCAGGGACTTTTAAGAGAAAAACACTCAAAAAACTTTGTTAATACTGCCTCTGGCAAAAAAGAACAATTTGAAAGACCTCGTCTTTGTTTTTCAACAATGGACGTCAAAAAGCACTGATAAACTGAAAAACAAAACAGAGCTACTGTTGCTGAAATATGAAAAATCCCCTTTTTAAAAAAGAATAGATATTTTTACCCATATTTTTTGGGTTACTGAGAGGATGTTGGTGCCAGATGGTACCCTTGTGATGGTGCGATCTGGATCGGAGAGGTGCTGCGAGTCTCACGCACCCCTGGAGAGGTCAAACTGAGGAGTAACATCCGTCAAGACAAATGTCAGTCTCAGGCCTCATATTCTTCACAGCTAAACTGTCAATTGCCACTGCAGCATATTCCATCGTCTACAGACTGTTTCTTCAAGACAATTCCAGTGGAGTAAAAGTGATGAGAAAATCCAAGTCAGACATAGTTTGTTTTTATCACTGATAGAGAAGTACTTGCATTGTATCAGATAACAGTGAAGTTCTGAGTGTGCTTTAGATGCGATAGTTTTGTATGTCCCAGTCGCATTAGAGTAACGAGACCTTCACCAAGGCACTTCTGTATAGAGATATCCGAAAAAACACTCACAGTCTCCAGATTGAAAGGTTACTAGTGTCAGAAACTATTTATTTTTACTTAGTTTGTTTTCATTTGTATCATTCATAGTACTATATGACAATCATAAAAGGAGTCACCGCTTTTAGCTACAATGATGAACATTAATGGTTGAGTTTATTTTCCTTTGTATGACATGTAATAATTTTTCATTTTTGTATTAATTTTTCTTTTTTTGCTTCAAAGAAAATTCTAGTCATGCACAGAAATAATTTATGTAAAGTGTTTTAAAATGGTTTATACTTTAAATAAAGTTTAAAAACTGTGAAACTTGTTTTTCAAAATATATCTGTATGTACAGTGTATAGATTTACCTTTATGCAGCACAGTAGAATATTGTTCATAATATCAACTTTTATATTTCTATCAGAAGGTGGCTTGTTATGTGCAAATCAACAGCTGGTATTAAAACACTAGAATTTCGTGACACTCAGATATCACAGATGAATAATATCGAAGCCCCGTTTGATGTTCTGTTTTAGTTTTGTTTTTATGCAGAAAAGTTGCTGTACTAGAACCCAAACCATAGAAATGGATTTTTTTCCACTGTGAAGAGACTCATTATGGATGTCATGATGTACCAAATCAGTATTGAGGGATGATTCTTACTCAAGTGAGACTCTTCTGAGACCTTACCAATAAATAGTTTAATTCATGTGAGTCTGGCTAGTCTCATGTATTTGTGAATATGTCTTCACATCTGTCCTGCTGTTATAACATGTCATTTCTCCACAGCTCATGGGGTGGACAATTTCTTTCCCTTACAAAAAGTAACCATGCTTACCATAGTTTCTGCCAAAATAACAGTTTATACTGTGGCAATACTATGGCTTATTGGATATGTAATATGGTAATGCATTGTTGGCTCTATTGAACATGTCCTATTGTAATACCACGGTATTCTTTATACCTGTAATCTGTTATTATGTATACCGTCTGATACACCGTTTGAAGCAGATTAAATCTGACATAATTATGGTTTGCTTGCAACAGTAACAATAACCCGAAAATTAGTAAACGGTGCTTTGATGGAAACTGTTTACCATGGTAAAATTAAGTGCTGCATTTACACAATCAAACACTCCACGTGAGCTAGAGATTCTAAATAGGCCTACTAGTTCATAATCACCAACACACTTTCTATTAGTGCTAATAATCATAATCACTAGTTCATAATCACCAACACACTTTCTATTAGTAATAATAATCATAATCACTAGTTCATAATCACCAACACACTTAATGATTTATTATTACGACTGCTATTGTTGTGCCTTACAAAATTTTAATAATGTAAGTGAAATGTGTGAATTTGGAGGAATCGAAATTGAAAGAAAAAATGAATGAAAATGTTTTTACCTAAGCCCTTTACACACACAAATACAAACAAACAGTATATTTCTTGACATTGAAATCTGATTTGTGCAGTATTACTACGATTGAAATCATGACACAAAATTAGTGATAATAATATATGTATGTTTGCAGCCTGTAGGAATCTTGGGTTTTCGAAATCTAAGCAGTCTTTTATTTTGAAGCTACGGGTCTTTTATTATGAAGTTAGCTGAAGCTACAGGAGGAGGTGAGCTTTTAGCTTTAGGCAGTGCCTTTTACACGACCACGCAAATGCTTAGCGGCCAATAGAAGATGACTTTTAAAAACATTGAATGACAAGGAAGGAAGAAATTCACCTGGTGAATTGTCTTAATCTTTTCAACATGGCAAGCAGCGGTAAGTTTTTTTTTTTCATCTAAATGTAAGCAACATACTTTCAGAGAATTAAAGAAAGAGACGTGCGAAACTGCAGGCGTTTTCTTCTTTCACTCCTTTCTTCCTATAGTAAACAACATGATCACCGGTTTTCGTTCTCTGTTGTTATCAGGGTGACAGTGCCCAGGTGCGCACCTTGATAAACACTTCCATTATATCGACATTTTATTACTTACAGTAATATTAAGCTGGACGTTTAATATCTTTGCTAATATTCTGTGTTGGCTATTATTTCATAATGCTTGCCTGCTGTCCTATTTGTTATTTTCGTTATTTTGTTTTCTGCATCTTGTGACGTAATGATGACTTGCAGAAAGTAAAACGTGGTACACGTTCTGGATTCGTTACGATTTAATTTGCATTGTATATAAAAACAATATTCTGGAACATCCAGCCATCGAAACAATTTAAACCAGTAATCACAAGGTAACCAAGTTACAAAAGAAACAAAAGAATAAATAAAACGTTTTTTCTTTTCTTTTGTAACTTGGTTACCTTGTGATTACTGGTTTAAATTGTTTCGATGGCTGGATGTTCTTGTTTTTATACAATGCAAATTAAATCGTAACAAATCCAGAACGTGTACCTTTTGTATTTTTTGTACACTTTGTTTTATAAAAATACAAAATGTTGTATTTTTATAATACAAAATGTATTTAATAAATTAATTAATTTTCTAAAATAAAAGTGAAAAGGCTGTTATATGAGCTATATCATCATAATCAAATCACTTTCATTGTCACTTAACGTTTTGGTTAACCACACAGGACTGGTGCAATAGTAACAAAATCTTGGGTGCGGGTATGCATATTCAGTTCTAGAACAAATACTTTTTTTTTTTTTCTTGAAATAACCTATTTGTAAACATCAATTAAGGGATCAATCTCAACAAAAAAATGTTTTACGTGTAGGCCTCTAAGTATAAAATGCATGTACATTTTGTTTTCATTGTCTGATGTCTATTACTCAGGTCAAACAACAGTGTTTACTACACGACAGGTATGTAGACATAACTGCATTTTCTTTTACCTTATTTCCACATTCCTCTCTACTATAGATAAGGATATCTCCTACAGTGATCTCAAATCTCTCTTGGAGAAGGGCTCTGGGTTTGTGGTGGATGTGCGCACAAAAGATGAGGTAGACAGAGGGCGTATTCCAGGCTCCATCCACATTCCAGGTGAGAGGGATGCACAATCATAATTTATATAAAGTGCAATATTTTAATTTGGATGTAGGCTACTTAGTTATTTTTAAAGGTTAGGCTACTACATGAAGCACATTTTTACGGTATGAATTGTTTTTTTTTTTTTACACAATGTTGTACAATAAGTGGATTGGCCAAGTGTATTGAAACAGGAGCTTTTTTTTTCTTTTTTTTGGTCCAATTTATTTTAGTGGAAAATGTAGAAAGTGACATGTCCCTGGACGCAGCTGAATTCCAGTCTAAGTTTGGGGTAGGTAAGCCATCTCTGGACTGCTCTGAACTGGTTTTCCACTGTCAGATGGGAAGACGTGGAGCTGTTGCCACAGAGAAAGCCAGAAGCCTGGGGTTCAAGTGGTAAGAAACTTGCCATCGCAATTTTTGAATGCTTAAACATGCAACCATAGGGTTTTGCTGAAACTGTAACACTATTTCCTTCTCTCTCTTCAGTGCCCAGAATTATGCTGGGGGCTACAAGGAATGGTCAGAAAAAGGGGGAAAATGACTATCTTCAAATCGCTTATAAGATTCCATCTTAAAAACCAGAGATCAGGGACCTTTTTTACTCTTATACAAATTAATGATAAAATCTAAATATGTATACATGTGTTTTAATAAAGTCTGATAACTAAAAAAATAATTGTTGTCCTTGTCTTGGCTGTTTTAAAGTGCATGAAATAAAATGAAAAAGGTATTCGGTTCATACTGGTTCAGATTTAATAGCCGATGATTCAGTTACATTGTTTCCGATGCTTTTCCTCTTTTAATTGAGCATGCGCAGATTGCGCACCAGCCTTCACCCTGAAGCAGCAACAATTCTCACTCAGTGAAATTTTGATATGATATGCTGCTAATTAATGGACTCTTATAGTGATCTCTGTCAATCGTTCGGGTAATGTATTATGCGATTACTCCTTTTTCTCTAAATGGTTGGATCTAAAGATGTTTGAAACACACGCACACTGTGTGATAAGTCGATTGTTTGTGCGATCAACTTTTAACTAGTGTATGCCTGATTCAGATAAGTTCTAGCAGTTATTGGAGACCGTAACGTGAAAACTGCTGTAGTTATGATGACGACTCACATAAGCTCTCCATATCTAGTGTGCCCCTCTGGGTGGGGCCGTTGCTGCACGCGGCCTCCAGGCTGAAGAACACCGACCGGCTGAAACGAAGAAAAGTTTACCGTTTAATCCAGCGTCACTTAGTAAGCGTCACTTTGCATTGTAATCTCAGTTTTACTTTATTTTGGTTAATTTTAACGTTATGCTGACAGCTGAACAACAGGGTCGGCTGCAGGACATGTGACAAACCCACATATGTGTACCCAACTGAGCTCAAAGAGATGGTTCGATCTGCCTTTCCAAAGGATGTCTGTGACTATGACGACCCCTGTCACAAAAATGTGAGAGCCCGATTAAGTTGATGCTCGTTCTTATAGATTTGCACCCAAATAGCCTATGGATAACAACTGATTCACTTTTGTTGCAGGTTGTTGTCCTCACTATGGAAGACTTTAAAATGACGGAGTTCTCTTGTTCTGGGATGGATTTGCCAATTAAACTGCAGTTGCAGTAGCCTAAATCTAATGGTTCAGAATTGTGTTATGTCCATAAAATAATGTAAGTTGTGATAATTTGCTATGTTTAAAGTATGCTAACTTTATATAGGCCTATATAAAATAGTTCGGTTTCCTTAAATAAATAGGCTTTTGTAATATTTTTTCTAAACATTTGTTAAATGTTATTATAGGCTATAGCCTCATTTATTACCGCTATGTGAGTTTGCGTTTGACTGCAAAACCTATCCTGTAACAGACTGTAATGTACATGGTGCATAAAAATGTAAAGTGCATAAAATAGTATTTATCTTAAACGTTTTGTTCTAGTATTATTTGTTTAGTGTTTGATGTTGTAAGAAGTGAACGACTCTGACAGTCCAGCACTGAGTAATTGACCCGCTGGACACCATGACAACGAACACACAACCTACACGAACACTTAAGCAGTCGAGTTAGTTCTATTAGCCTACTGACTGTTTAACACAAGGCATTCACAATTCGAGGTAAGTATATATTGAGCCATATAATAGTGAAAGTATAATGCATACTATCTGCTAAATGCAATCATAGCGTGATGATCTGCATAAACTAGTTTGGGCTGCACTCATGTTTCCACATTCAGATCTTTTTTTCTATTCCTTTTCTTCCATAAATGTTGTGTATCACTTTAGAAAATGCCTCCAGAAGGGAAATCTGACATGGAGCGGATTGGCATCTTTAAAGAGTTGGGATACATCTCAATAGGGGACAAATATACACCTTTTATTTACCGTAAGTGTAACGAACATATTAAACTTATATTGTTAGTAACAGTGGGTGGCGCACAGGCGCAGTGGGAGTTTGTTGCGTAGAGCGCATCAACCACGGTAACTTGCTTCAAAATACAATTTTAATGGTCACTGGGTACAAAATCTGTCACTGGGGCGGTACCATTTTGAACGCTAAATGTCTCGTTTTAGTTATGTAGGCTACACTTTAGGTAGGCTACTAATATGTAGGCCTACCTTTAAAGTAGACAGCACTCTTTGGGATTTGAAAAGTACCGCCCCAGTGACAGCTTTTGTACTTTTTTGTTTTCTGAGAAAAATCGCAATTGAACAAGATATTTCCTTTAAATAATGTAGCTTTCTGTAATTTTGTTTTTATTTATTAAATTGTGACATAGACCTATATCAAATCACCGCAGTTGAAGCCGCATAGCCTTTTAGCAAACAGGTTACCATGTCAATTTTTGTTGTTACAGAGGAGACTGCATGGCTACTTGTCATGCATGCTTTTACCCCGCACTGAATATTTCTCAAGTCAGTTTCTGTAAAGGCACACAAAAATTAAACCCGTTTTCACAGACATGGCTTAAGCCTATAGTCCTAGACTAAAATGCATGTTTGAGCTGTTTTTAACTGAAAGCAACTTGCACTGGCGTATCTTAAAATATGTCACTGCCATTGTTTTGTCTGAATATGCGCACCACAAGTAATAGTTTTTTTGTTTTGTTTTTTTTCTAAAGGAACATTTATAAAAGCTGCTAAAATGTCTTAATAAACTTAGGCCTAATCCTGACTTAATCTAAGACCTGTCAGTGAAAAAGAGTCATAAATCCCCGTTTCAGCACCATTTATTTTTGGCTTAAAAACTTGTGCTCAACGATCACAGTTCAGCTTTTTGAGTTAAAATAAATCAACCTTTAATATATAGTACGCTACATTGTCACTGTGACTGTATTGTGTTCACTTGTTTATCTAACAGTCATTAAAAAATATGATGTTAGCAATACAGTACAATAAGCATTTTTGTATAAACGTATGCAATGTAAACACAGGATAATGTGACGGCTGCATAACATAGAAATTAAAATGGTTAATATGTAATGTGTGTTTAATGCACTTTGTTGTCGCTGAAAGGCCCATTTAATGACTCCGCATACAAGAACAAACAGATGCTACCAGGAGGAGTTAAATCAAAGTCCGCACTTCAGACTGGATACTTCGACGCACAGTTTAAGAGGATCTTTGAGAGAGAGGCGCTCACAGACCCTGTCAAAATAGCCAGACAATACAAGATACAACAGGCCAAAAAGAACATAGGCAAAGCCTTTCTTCCCAGTAATGGAGAAAAAAAAACGTAAGTCCTCCTTTCTTTCTGTGCACAACTGTTTAATAAATTATTTTTTATATATATATAGTATTCAATGATGAATAATTGTGAAAATATAAGAATTAAAAATATTTGTATTAGTAGTAGTAGCCCCGTTCACACTACAAGCGACTTTGTCGCTGCATGTCGCCTGTGGCTGGCGATGAGGTCGCTAATGGGAGTTCCCACTACTGGTTGCCTTTATGAATGACATCCAATGATGTGGAGAAGGATCATACGCGCTCCGCTCCTATTGGTTGTCGCTCCCGAAAGTCGCTCCTCATTTGCATAAAGTTAAACAGATCTCAACTTTGTCGCGTCGCCAGACACGCCCCATCCGGTCGCCAACGGTCGCTGTCGCGCGTGTCGCCGGAAATCGCCAGCTCCCCATTGAAATGAATGGTATCGCGTCGCGTGTAGTGTGAACGGGGCTTTAGGCCTAACTTTTGTTGTGGCAATGGACTACAAGAAATTACAGGGATAATTAATTTCCCTTTAAAAACTGTCATCATTTTTCTCATTTTGTTGCAAACCTGTATGGCTTTCTTTCTTTGTGTTCAACAGAAGAAAGTCATACAGATTTGAGCAACATGAGGGTGAGTAAAGACATAATTTTTGGGTGAACTATCCCTCTAATATTCGGTAGCTTTATTGAACCTAGTAATAGAGTGTACCCCACTGGTGTAAAGAATATCCAGAAAATATATTGAATCTGTACAGTAAGGAGAACAAGGTTGAACCCGAGATGTGTATATGTTTCGAGGCTATTTCATTAGTGTGACAATTGGCATGGTCTATTAAAATCTAAAGACATGAAAAAGACCCCAGAACCTAGATTTTGTTTAAAAGGGCACATGCTTTGTGCTTTTTAATGATGTTTTTGACCCCAAAACAAGATAAAGTCCTCGGTTTTTCAAAAACAAGGATTTCACCATAATGCAATAGTTCAAAGCATCAAAGGCAAACAGTTTTTTTTCATGTGCATCTGAGAGAATGCAAAAAAAATATTCACAAAACCTGTTAGTGAAACATTAAGGCTGCTAGTCACAGAACTGTAGTTAGATGTCTGTCTGTGTGTGTGTGTGTGTGTGTGTGTGTGTGTGTGTGTGTGTGTGTGTGTGTGTGTGTGTGTGCATGCGTGTGTGTTGTTTTCCCAATTTATACCAGAAAAAAAAACTGCCATACAGCTATCATTCCTTATATGGTCTTTACAGTTGCTTAATAGTTTTCTCTGATTTGTAGATGTGGGATGGGCAGCTATTATGGGACAATTGGGGGTCCCATTCAAGCAATGAGTGCCCTACAGATTCCAAGGAAACCAAAAAAATCAGCTGGGAAAAACTTCTACACCAATCCACCGAAGAAGGGAAGTTCTGGGTAAGCAAATGAGATCCTTTAATATGCAAGTGTCTGTGGTTTTGCTGTCAGATGTATTGATTTGTACTTGTTCCCTAATAGCTATCCTGACATCACTCTCTCCAAGATGGTGTCCTATTCCTCAGACCCCTATGATCGAGCCAAGGAAATGCTAAAGGTATTTTTAGGTCTGCCTAAATTAGATTTTTTTTATCAGGCTCCCAGGTCCTTGTTTTAATTAAGATAAGGCGTCCTCTGAGTGCCCGACAGTATAATTCTATGCAAGCATACGACTGTGTTCTCTTCCTCTAATGAGAGAGATAATTTGTTTACCAGCGTGAGATCATGTCACACAAATCCATGCTGAAAGGGGGAGCGTTTCGTTTGAACCTTCATCCAAATGAATGCTTTGACAGCAATCCTTTCAAATTTGACAAACCTCTACCACCTCCAAAGAAGACTGATGGGAAAAAGCACTTTATGGTGCCCTTCAAACCAAGTTCACCCAGTAAAAAGGTACATAATATGCCTAAAAGGAGATAAAGAGGTTAGCTGTCTTGGAAAATTTTGTGGAGTTTTATTTTGGTAGTATGCTAAGGTATTGTATTCTTATTTTCTGCAGAATGGAGGCATGAAAGCTGGAACATTTGACTCCTACCCCAGCTACTCTGCAGAACCCTATGGCAGCAAAAAGACTAAATCAGCGATGACGAATAAGGAAGGAAAGATATTTCACCCCTCCCCTGGTCCAAAGAGTACACCTGTCAAGAGCATCATCAGCCTCAATGTCAAAAAGTAAGCTAGGGTCCAGGACCAAAGACACCCATTTCACACTCCAAACTGTGCTTAATGCTTTGCATAATAATAATCATTAATATTAGTTGCTTACCAAATTCCACAGAGAAAGACACCTCAGGCTCACAGTAATGTACTGTAACTTCATTTTGCAGGGCTGTGAATGCCACAAACTACAATCAAATCCACTCAGTTACGGCATATTGAGAACTTGTGATGTCTTCAGGTGAATAAATGAACGTTCCTTTAGATGAAATTGGAATTGTATATAAATCATTCTCTTAATTGATAAAAATTGAGTCATTCTCATTTAGCTCATTCTAATTACTAAACACTTGGTTCATAGCATCTAACGATGTTTAATTGTACAAGTCAAGTTTAAGTCATGCGCATCATTTTGTCAGTGAAACACTAAGCCACTTGTCTAAGATCAGTTATTACAGTTATAGTATAAGTTATTAAACATTAAATATATATATTTTGTTTTTAACCAGCATTTAATTCAGTAAGTTCTTAAAGTTGACACATTTCTGCATTCACATTCAGAATTTTTTATTTTTTATTTTTTTTTATTGAATATGGTTATTTAGTCGCACAATTTACAGTGTAGTGATATAATAAACCTTCAGTCTTATTTGTTTTTAAAGGTGATCATCAAGGATAACTGAGGAAATGACAGAATTATCATTTGTGAGTGAACTGTGCCATTAAGTTCATTTAAAATCACCAGAATTGAAGAAAGTAAATGCAGCATAAGGAATATTCATAGAAATGTTGGTATTCAGCTGAACAAAAAGTAAAAAAAAGAGTTTTGTACTGGGAAACAGATTACATTGCTTATTTCTTACAGTTTGTGCACATTACCAAATACCTTGTACATACAGGTCCTTCTCAAAAAATTAGCATATTGTGATAAAGTTCATTATTTTCCATAATGTAATGATAAAAAATTAAACTTTCATATATTTTAGATTCATTGCACACCAACTGAAATATTTCAGGTCTTTTATTGTTTTAATACTGATGATTTTGGCATACAGCTCATGAAAACCCAAAATTCATGTCTCAAAAAATTAGCATATTTCATCCGACCAATAAAATAAGTGTTTTTAATAAAAAAAAAAAAAAGTCAACCTTCAAATAATTATGTTCAGTTATGCACTCAATAGTCAATACTTGGTCGGGAATCCTTTTGCAGAAATGACTGCTTCAATGCGGCGTGGCATGGAGGCAATCAGCCTGTGGCACTGCTGAGGTGTTATGGAGGCCCAGGATGCTTCGATAGCGGCCTTAAGCTCATCCAGAGTGTTGGGTCTTGCGTTGGGTCTTGTGTTGAACTTTCTCTTCACAATATCCCACAGATTCTCCATGGGGTTCAGGTCAGGAGAGTTGGCAGGCCACTTGAGCACAGTGATACCATGGTCAGTAAACCATTTACCAGTGGTTTTGGCACTGTGAGCAGGTGCCAGGTCGTGCTGAAAAATGAAATCTTCATCTCCATAAAGCTTTTCAGCAGATGGAAGCATGAAGTGCTCCAAAATCTCCTGATAGCTAGCTGCATTGACCCTGCCCTTGATAAAACACAGTGGACCAACACCAGCAGCTGACATGGCACCCCAGACCATCACTGACTGTGGGTACTTGACACTGGACTTCAGGCATTTTGGCATTTCCTTCTCCCCAGTCTTCCTCCAGACTCTGGTACCTTGATTTCCGAATGACATGCAAAACTGAGCAACAGTCCAGTGCTGCTTCTCTGTAGCCCAGGTCAGGCGCTTCTGCCGCTGTTTCTGGTTCAAAAGTGGCTTGACCTGGGGAATCCGGCACCTGTAGCCCATTTCCTGCACACGCCTGTGCACGGTGGCTCTGGATGTTTCTACTCCAGACTCAGTCCACTGCTTCCGCAGGTCCCCCAAGGTCTGGAATCGGTCCTTCTCCACAATCTTCCTCAGGGTCCGGTCACCTCTTCTCGTTGTGCAGCGTTTTCTGCCACACTTTTTCCTTCCCACAGACTTCCCACTGAGGTGCCTTGATACAGCACTCTGCATGGGAACAGCCTATTTGTTCAGAAATTTCTTTCTGTCTTACCCTCTTGCTTGAGGGTGTCAATGATGGCCTTCTGGACAGCAGTCAGGTCGGCAGTCTTACCCATGATTGCGGTTTTGAGTAATGAAACTGGTGTTTAGAGTTAATTCGTTGATTCAGATGATTAGGTTAATAGCTCGTTTAGAGACCCTTTTCATGATATGCTAATTTTTTGAGACAGGAATTTTGGGTTTTCATGAGCTGTATGCCAAAATCATCAGTATTAAAACAATAAAAGACCTGAAATATTTCAGTTGGTGTGCAATGAATCTAAAATATATGAAAGTTTAATTTTTATCATTACATTATGGAAAATAATGAACTTTATCACAATATGCTAATTTTTTGAGAAGGACCTGTAGATGATGGCGTATTTGAACCTGTATTAAAAGCAAAATTACCTTTCTTGCGTATTTTAAGAATAACTGAAACCTAGTATGATTGATGTGTTGAAATTTAGGATTTGATCTGCACAGATGCCTAATATGTAAGATCAGAAATGAGAGAGTTTACTCTTGGCATTTCAACAAGAACTGGATTAAGGCTTTGAGAAAGAGATTACACCTGGCATTCATTTTATTTATTTATTTGTTTGTGATTTGGATCACAAATGGTCAGTGCTAAATGCCCTTTTTGGAGTCTATAAAGCTTTGTAATCATAACACTGAAACATACAAATGTAGTCAGAAACGTATGTTTCCACCTTGCATGTGTAGTGTAAACTCTATCTGTCCTAAACATGTCCCGAGCCGCAGTGAAGCAACCAAATATGCACCAAATGTAATTTTGTTCAGAGATAAGTTGTGAGAAAACGCACCAAAGAAAGTGATTCAATCTTTGCTGCATTGTTCTAAAACACACAGATTATGTTCAAAATAGCCGTTTTTATTCTCTTCCTTTCCTGCTTGCAAGTCACGTAAGCCACGTAACATGGATTTGTTCATAAGTTGGGAGTGTCTCGTCAAAATCTGAACACAAGTAGACACAGAAGATCAATTTGAAGCGCATGTTAATACCAGGTGTAAACAGTAATGATATGATCACTTAAAATGCTGTGATCAAAAAGTTGCCTTGCATTCTCTTTTATAAACTAATACGAAGTTTGAAGGTTCAAGCTCTATTCTTACACTAACCACAATAAGGGCAAACAATACAAATTGTCTAATTTCAACTGTCAGTTGTGTGAGTTCTGAGTTTTTCCGTCCCTCTAAGCAGTGGGATATACAGTAACTAGATCATGTCCCTCAGGTGGGGTCATTCGCATTCGAGCATGGGCTTCACAGTACAACTGTCCCTCCACAAAAAAGTAGCCCTTCTGCTTCAAGTTCACACCACAGTCTGAGCACACGAAACAGGCTGGATGGCGGTACTTGTCCCGAGCTTTCACCACCGTTCCTCTGTAAGCCAGTTGTAGAAACAGTCTCATTTAATGAAGTAGTTAAAATGCATGAACACAATTCAGTGTAGAAGAGTTTTCAAGAAAATTGGTGATATATTCTCAAAGAAGACACCATTTGTGCAGTCTCATGCTGTACTCACACAATGCCGGTGCCACATTTATCACAGAGAGGCAGCTTCTGCAGTGAGGATGTGGCCGCTTGTGGTTTTGACACTGGGGCTTTTACACTTCTTGTCACCATGGGCCTTGTGCCTGTCAGAACAATAAAGGATAGAGGCTCAGATCCACTTCGAAAATGTGAAATGCTCCCTCATATAAACTCATCTGAATCCAGACCATTAAAAGAACAGCAGGCTCTGACTGATGTCATTAGCAGAATTGCGAAGGGATTTTGAAGTCAAATTGAGTATAACTTTGACTTCTTCATCAGTGCTACTAGCTGTAATTTCTGTCTTATGAATTCAACATTGCACCCTTCTAGAGACGGGTGGTGTTGTAATAAATAAAGGCAGCTCACCGTCACTCTCGACATAGTCCTGCAGGGCCTTAAACGATCCAGACTGACGTGGTTCATGTGGCAGCTCATGGTCCTCTTGGAGCATACGGTATACATGGGATTCTTCAATGGATGTCAGGGGTTTAGGGCTGAAAACGGATAAAAGGCAGAAGCACATAACGTTTATCCAGTAAGTGAAAATTACCATTCGATGATATATAAAAGTTTGGCAGTGTACATTATGAGTATTAGAGTATTAATGGCATTTTTCTTTTAATGGCGGTTTTTGGCAGAAAGAGAAAAACGACCGAAAATATATGCCGCCGCACCGCTAAGTGTTCAGCGCTCAGGTTTCACTCTCGCTCTAGCCGTTATCAGCGCGCTCTATGCTCTATGCTAGGGGTTAAACGGATCATAGTAGATCCGTGATCCGTACGGACCAGGCCGCATGGTTCGGCACTGGTGTTTTCCGGATTAATTGCTAAGTTTCACTACCAATTCGCTACTCGCTCACTATTATCTGCATGCACAGCACAACTGCACACACCCGAAGGCCGCGCACATAGAGAGACAGCACGTGAATTGATTCCTCTTTTGCATTTCTGTGCTCTTGAATGGACACATACACACAAACTTATGTCAAAATACCAGTCTCAGCAAGTATTCTTGTAAACACAGTCGGTTATGTCTTAAGAACGTAAAGAGTTGAGAAAGAAATCGGATGTGTATCACTATATTAGATCCGTGCATTCGGTCTTAAAGTGACAGCAATCTATAAATACCTGCTGCTAAGTCATTAATGTTAATCAAACAACAAAACACAGCTTTAACAAAGATTAATTTAATGTATACAGTGAACACAATAATGTTTTTGTTTTTTTACATTTATGCCTAATCATTACATGTCTGTACCGGAATTCAAACTTACTTTATTTGTAACTTTGTTATACTGTATTTAGTGTATTTTATTAATATCAGTGTCTTTTCCAGACCTGCAGAACACAACTGAAAGATTTCCCTTTTTTTCATCTGTAGGAACCCCCTGTTAACCTGTTTTTTAATGCTTACTGTATCAGCATGAGCTGGTAGATTTGTAAGGTGGTGTAAAGCAAGCGTGATGGAAACAAAGCGCTGGTTACCTGGGCGATGCCTGCCTGACTACAGTGGACATCTGAGCCTGCTGTAGTGTGTTTGAAACATTGTCTGCTGAGTATAATGCAATAGGGGAGTTATACTGTGCAGAAGGAGCTGCCTTGGACCCAGCCGATGGGGTGCCAGGCATCTGGGATGTACTGTCACTGGAGTAGTGTAAGGTCAGTGTATAATAGCCAGATGAACCAAACCAGGAAGCAATCAAATCAAAGGGGCCACATAGAGGACACAGAAAATGAAAAACAAGACAGAAAAGAATGGAAGAAGTAGTTAGAGATGTACATAGAGCTTCAGTATATATTGCGCTTCTGCTATATAATACATCAGCAAGTTATCTGAATGTAAAATATAATAATTCTACTGTGATTATGTGACCATATGACTACATGCAGGGTGCTTTTGTCTAATGACCTCCTTTGGCTTGCAGTTGTGAAGGGCTTTGGTCTGACATTAAACTTGTGTTCGAAGTAATCAACGTCCTGTAAGACATAAGAGTGAAGATGTTAATAGACAGGTGAAAGGAGCAAAAGTCCCCCAAGACCCAACACTGCAGGCCCATATGTGGATATTTGTCTGCTATTACGTACTAGTATACAGCATTAAATAAGGGGTTGGCCATATTTCTATCATCATTTTCTATCCAAATGCTTATATTCAGGCTGCAGAAAGTCTTGTGGGGACTTCTGGCGTGTGTTAGTGGTAAGTGGGCAGCCGGTCTACAGCAAGCAGAGGGAAGTGTCTTAGTCCATATGGCTGGGGTGATCCAAGTTGGCACTCACCCCTCAGGCTTTTCATGCACTAGACCCCGGATCTGTCCTTGCAGGGCGTCCTGGATGTTATCTTGAGAGTAGAGGCCTATGGGAGTGTTGTAGGCGGAGCTCACCACCTGTGTTTTGTCATCCAGACTGGCGGCAGCCACAAAGGGCTGTGCTCTTCTGTTATGACCTGTGCCAATAGGTTTATACTCCTGCATGTGTAGGACAGATGGACACACTACATACTTAAAGCCCCACACAAACACCACATTCTCCAGATATGTCCTTTTGTTACCTAAATATGCTTATCTTCTCAAACTTCTTTCATTATTTAATGGTTGCATATTTTTTCATTTAAATCTGGCAAATTATATGCGTGTATGTGTGCATGTGCGTTTGTGTAAGTATCTATATGGCTTTATTTTAAGTTATATTGTGTTGGACAAGGACAAATCTACTTTTGGTCAAACAAAACATAGCAGACTTGCACAATTTTTAAAAGGGTTACTCCACCCAAAAAGGAAAATCCTCTCATCATTTACTCACCCTCGTGCTGTCCCAAATCAAATGTATATGACTTACTTTTTTTCTTCTGTGGATCACAGAGATTTTTAGAAAAATAACCCATCTCTGTCCGTCCATATAATGCAAGTGGATGATTGGAACCCTTAAAGTTGACGTTTCAAAAACCACGAAAAACAAACACGACAGTAATCCATATGACCCTACTTGATGATGCAATGTCTTCTGAAGTGAAATGATAGGTGGGAGTATGAAAAATACTAATATTTAAAACTTTTTAAACTATCAACCATAGCTTTCGGCCTATTGTCATATGTGGGTTCATGAGTTCCCCCTTTATGTAAACACCAGCACATTATGAAACTCATGCGAGAAGTGATTCGGAAGCACAGAGGAGCGTCAGTTCTTGCGCAAGTGCTTCACAATGCGTTTGCGTCAATATTAGAATTTTTCACACACACCTACAGTATCTTTGTTTGTGTTATACATGAGAAAGAAAGACATACATCTGGGACAGCATGAGTAAATCATGAGACCATTTTCATTTTTGGGTGGAGTATCTATTTAACATGCCTCATGCATATTTTCTTTAAAAAAAGTCTTTAATTATCCATTTGATTGCTGCATGTTATAAGCAGATACAAATAAAGAGCTGTGCATTTATCTTCCATTACACTTACTTGCTTATCTGCCTCCAAATTGATTTTGAATGGGTTTACTTGCCCCTCTTCTATAACCTGAGGTGACCACATTTTAGTTTCTGGCCTGCAACACAATGCACACAGTTAGACATGATGTACTCGCCTCCTGTGAAACTGTAAAAAAAGATCAAAGAGCACTAAGGGGTAGGGGGGGTCATTACTGGGCAACAGGACCATGACCTCTTCTAGATAGTAAAGTAACGTCAACAGCCTGGCATGTACAAGCCAGATGGTTTATAGGAGGGTATTAATCACCGAGGAAAGACACATTCATCGTTGTCATAAATAAGGTTCTGTGGGTACTGATGGACACTTTCATAGCAAGGGGTAAAGACACATTCTTTTGGGACTCCTGCTTACAGTTCTCTGTAACTTAAAAGGAGGTGAGAGAACATGATATAAAGTTGTTGAAAGACGCCTAACTCTGTTTGTAACACTATCCTTGAATAAGAAAAGCTCATGGTACCTCTCTATCTTGAGGAAAAGCTGATTGGTGGAGTCTTTGATCTTGTTCTGAGCTTCAGCGTGAGTCACACCGTCTGTGGACACTCCCTGGATGGCCAGGATGATGTCTCCGGGACACAGGTTGACCCGAGATGCCTTACTGCCTGGAGTCACCTGAAAGCAAAGAACCTTTTTTAATATATGAGGTAGGGGGTAGGGGGTAGGGGTAGGGGTAGGGGGGGGGTCTATTACTGATGTATTATTTATGCTAAATGGTTCTTTTTTTTTTTTTTTACTGTAGAAACAAAGATTTGAGAAAGCATTCAGATTCTTAAGATCAGAACCTTGATGAACCTTCTTTTAAAGTCACCGTAAGTTTCCAGCAAACCATGGGACAGTTTAGACCTAAACAGAAAGTGACAGGGGTAGAAACAATCTGTTGACCCTCTGGTTTAGAAGTGGACTAAAAATAGCACGGCGTGGATATGTCAGTCAAGGCCGTGTATCGCCCTCGGGGGGAACACAGTCAGGCCTATTGGCGGTTGATGATCTGACTGTTCTGGCATTCACCCTGCAGCCTGGTGTTTCTCTGCCCTCTCCTTCCATCATGCTCTCTTTCATTAATGGAGTCTGACATCATTCCTTACTCCTCTCATCACTGACGGGCTCATTTTCTGAGGTATTCTCATCGTCCCCCTAGTCGTTTATCTCATCACCTTGTCCTGTGTGCAGGTCTCGTTCTACCTGCCTCCTCCTGACTCAGCTGCTCTATTATATCCCAATACCGCTGACCTTCTTCTATTTAGGTTTGCCTCTCAAGAGGGGAAGATTTATACCAGGTCAAGTCATGCCAGTTATTTAAGACCAGAGGGTTTTAGTTTTCCATCATCCGTGCTTAATGTCATGAAGATCTGTGATGTTTTATTCCGAATGCATAATTTATTGACTGATGAAGCTAGCAGTGATTAAGCCTATTTCCTGTCAAATAACAGTCACGGTGTAATATTTCATTTCCTAATGCCTTTCTCACTTTGTGTACACAACAAAATCACCTTTGTCCATCTGTATTTTCTAGAGAGAATACATCTTTGATAATGCCATTTAAGAGACATTGATCTCTGGCCATATTTAAGGCAACAAACAAAAAAAACCTAGGCTTTATTTCCCCTGTAGACATCTATTATCGGGGCGTCTGCAGAAAGGTCGACTGTGAAGAAATAAGCACCCAAAATGAAAATGAGATTGTTCCCTTGACACTACTCAAGCAAATGGAGGATGTGTTTGGCTCAAAAACAAAGACACTCTGTTTAATAGATGGAAACAAATGGAGCTATGAACTGAGATGAAACCATCGAGTGACTGGAATCTGAGCTTCAGTATAAACAGAAACATGAATATAACAATTTTTTTTTGTTAGCTATGCAGCACCTGTGCAGAAAAATCCCCAAGGTGACACAAACCCACAAGAGAAGCATGTAAGGGCAAGCTGAGCATTAGACATTATGTTCAGAGCAACATCAGGCAGAATAAATTAAAGTGATAGTTCACCTAAAAATGAAAATGTATTATCATTCCAAAGCCATGATTTTCTTCAGTTAAAAAAGGGGTCCAAAACAACATCAGACCCCACTGACTTTCATTGTATGGACAAAAAAAAAAGAGTTTTTTCAAAGTATCTTCTTTTTTGTACAACAGCTATTCCTTTATTTTATTCTGCTGACTGAACCTACGTGGAAACCGACACGAGGGTGATTAAATGATAAAATGGAAAAAGCTCAAGGTTGATGCTCAACTATGAACTATCCCCATCATGCCCTTTAGCAAAACACTAAATCCCAGGTTGTTCCAGGGGGAATGGCCCTGTAATAAATGTACTGTGTCGCTTTCGGTAAAGTATCTGCTCAATGACTGGATCTAGTCATTTACATTTTTAATTCAACAGTATAATTTAGACAGTCGGATTTGGCTCCTCATAAAAGCCCCATCTGTGCTGGCATGCCCGCATCGATGGAGGCTAATGTTACTTGAATAAGAACATCAGGGCTCAGAGAATGAGAAAAGAACCACCTTGCTGGCATCAATATGTGTATGATTACAGACAGCGGTTATACAAAGAAACCACACACATTCTGTATTAGTCATCAGCATTTCTCTGCTTGAAAACATGATATATTTAGCTTTCAGGTTCTGGGTATAGACGTACACAAAAATAAGAAACACTCATTCTAATCCATTTAAATTATGTTTGAGCTGGTTTTGTTTGAAATCAAATCCAATGTCATTTTCAGTGGATGGAAGTTATTTGCAAGGAATGTTAAATAAACCTGATTGGTTTATTTTAAAGGAGAACTCCGGCGCAAAATGAACCTTTGGTCTAATAAAACATTGGTACCAAGTCAACCGTTCTCTGAGATTTGTTTTCATGATAATCAAATGCAAAGAGTTTTATCTCTAAAAACTGTTTAGCGTATAACGCTAGTAATGGGGGCATATAATAAGTAAAAAGAAATCGCTAGTTTATACCACTAACAAGGCTCAAAATAGCCCCACACGAACACAGTAACATAATGAGGGTCCCTACATGCAAAACGAAGCATAGAGAACTTTGTAAGTGTACAGACCGTTTAATAAGAAGATAAAGATAAAGACAGTCCACTTCGTGTATACAGACAGGAGCCATCTTTGGAAAACAGTCTCGACTAATCAAACCACGAACGCCATTCATACAGTTCAGAAGTTCACTGAACTTCATACAGTTCAGCTCACTTAGCACGTCGTTCGTGGTTTGATTAGTCGAGACTGTTTTCCAAAGATGGCTCCTGTCTGTATACACGAAGTGGACTGACTTTATCTTTATCTTCTTATTAAACGGTCTGTACACTTACAAAGTTCTCAATGCTTCGTTTTACATGTAGGGACCCTCATTATGTTACTGTGTTCGTGTGGGGCTATTTTGAGCCTTGTTAGTGGTATAAACTAGCGATTTCTTTTTACTTATTATATGCCCCCATTACTAGCGTTATCAGTGCCGCTGCTAGCCATTTTGGTGCCCTAAGCATGGTTTTCTCTCCTCATCAGCATCACACTCTTTTTCTCTTTGTTTTTATCTTGCCCTGTCTCTTCCCCTCCTAAAATTGGCTTTTTTAATTTACTAAAGGTTACAATTTGTATTTTATTCTCAATATGTACACATTCATTATAAATCCTGTGCCTAACATGATGAAAAAGGCTTTGTTCATGTTTCTTGTCCCCTCACAATGACAGTAGCCTAAACTATTACACTAGGCTACATGTTACATAGGCCTATTTTCAGTTCAAAATGGCGAAATTAGACAAAACTATATTAGTTTGCCTAATTATTTTTTGTCATTCGTTTAACATTTATGACCTAAAAAAAACTGTCAAATAAAGTTAAGTTTAGCTACTTACATCTTATCTCGCACTTGACCGTACACTGAAGCGTCGAGTTGCACTGTTAAAATTCGCGCTCAGCGTCTGTGAACATAAAGCCCGCCTACTTTGATTTGATTGGTCATCTCAAATATTCTGACATTGACGAGCAGTGACAGACCAATGAGGCTCAGATGAACACACATGAACACACACACACACACACACACACACCCTGTCCTGTGTTTCTGACGTGCTCTCTGTCTCTACTCGGCGCCGCTGCGGAATGAAGAGGAAGAACGCGCTGAATCTGATTATAACAAGAAGTTTGATGATTGGTTTTTCATTAGGCTATTTTTGGTGCCCCCTCAGCACTTGGTGCCCTACGCACAGCGCGTGATGCGCGTGGTGGGAGCGGCGGCGCTGAGCGTTATACGCTAAACAGTTTTAGAGATAAAACTCTTTACATTCGATTATCATGAAAACAAATCTCAGAGAACGGTTGACTAGGTACCAATGTTTTATTAGACCAAAGGTTCATTTTGCGCCGGAGTTCTCCTTTAAGAATGACATCATTCTGTTCAGCGGAGACTTCACATTTAGTTCACCTGGAAGTTTATTTTCCCCCTATTGTGGCCAAAACCAGTGATGCATTAAATTTTTTTGCTTTTTTTTGGACGTTTCATGGTAATAACTTTGTATTATCTTGGAATACCATGGTATATTAATAAGGTAATCATTGAAAAACCATTATGCCATCTTAAACCAGTACTGTGCTATACATCCAACCACTTTTTTTTCTGTTTTTTTTTTTTTTCCAATTCATATTTCGTAAGACCTGCAGTTCTGTTTCTAATCATGGAGTATGAAGACAGTCATTTTTACGACGACCTCTCTGTTCTCCATTTAATTTTTTCCCCACAATTTATGGTGAATGTCAGAACGGCTTTCCAATTGAATATCCTTGAATGTCATGATCAAAGAGCTGCTGTTGATGAGACTGAGCTACTAATCAAACTGCTACATTCCACACATCAGAATGCGGCATTGTTCAGACACAGGCCTGGATAAGAGACAAAAGTCTTTATGTAGATGCTGTGTAGCTACAATACATAGCATTCTCCCCAGTCAGACTCCCAACAGATTTCTGAGAAGGAGAGAGACAGCAGAAGTTAGACGAGACTGCTTGCACTGTATTTCTGAATAAGGGAAATTCTGGTGGACCCTTATATGATCCTCTTAGCCTTCACCAAATCTGTGCAGTTGCAGAGCATAAATCTACTATGCCATTGTACCTGCCTCTTATTCAGTTCAAAATAATTGCATATATGAAATGACATGCTTTCACCACCATCCAGGTGATCAACAAGGAAAGATTAGTCAGTTTCAGGCATTTATGAACAATCCTAGTGGATAAGAGATCTGTTATGGTGCTGAAATAGTAACTTAAATTAAAGAGATTGTTCAATTCATCTCTCACATGGGTGCTGTTAACCTTTGACCTCTTCTGTTACCACAAATGTCCATACTTCATTGGCTGTTTAAAATATTGTTGGACTAAGAGCTTTGCGATTCATTCAGACAACAGGTGTAGAGATCCCCTCTGGAGCCTGTGTGTGTGTGTGTGTGTGTGTGTGTGTGTGTGTGTGTGTGTGTGTGCGCGTGTGTGCATGGGTTAGTAGCTAAGAGAAAATGTCTTGCACTCATTTTTGCAAATAAAAAATACAGTCAAATCAGTAATATTGTGAAATATTATTACAATTTAAAATAATGGTTTTTAATATATTTTAAAATGAAATTTATTCCTGTGATGCAAAGCTGTATTTTCAGCATCATTACTTCAGTCTTGTGTCACATGATCCTTCAGAAAGCACTCTGAGCTGATTTGCTCAACAAATATTTCGGTGTTGAAAACAGTTGTGCTACTCAATATTTTTGTGGAAACCGTGATACATTTTTTTTCATGATATATTAATGAAAGTTCAAAAGAATTTGTGTGAAATAAAAATCTTGTAGCATTATAAATTATCACTTTTGATCAATACATCCTTGCTGAATGTAAGTATTCATTTCTTAAAATGCACCACTAGAGAAAGTCACATAATAACATAAAAGAACTGCGTCAATATAACAAACAAAGTCTCTATTGGGAAATGATTCCCTGACAACCACAGATGTTTCTAAAAATGAATGTCAGTTTGAACTTGTGACTCTAAAAATATTTCTCTGAAATGTTTCTCACTGTCCTCCTCAGTAACGTCTAAAGTGAGGTCCTGGGAATGTTTTTTATGATCCACCCACTGGTTTCTCATGCCCACGGCAGTGTTACCCAGCACATCAGAAGCATCATTATCTCTTGAGTGATTGTGTGAAGGAGAAGAGACTTTAGCCAACGGCTTTCACTTACCCGAGTTATGGTCAGCGGCTGGTTGAAATCTTTCCCTCCTGAAAGCCGAAATCCCCAAGGGGCTGGCCCATCTAGTACCACGTTCTGTGGCATTTCTGTCTTGTTCTGTTTAGTTTCTTTCTCAAAGTTGAACTGGGTCCTTCAGTGCAGTCTCTTCTTATTGGCGAGAGATCTGCAGTAAGAAGAGAATGATCAGCTCTATCCCTCCTACTACCCTAGACGAATTGCTCACCCAACCACGACTGGAAGCCAGTGCCTGTCTCTGAATCCCTTTTAAGCATGTGTGTGGGGTTAGGAGAGTGAATGAAAGAAAGATGATGCCAGGATGCCACTCCTCTTGTGAGGTCATAGGGTAGACTGAGAAACTGAGGGTTCAAACTCCCTCCCTCCTTCAGATCCAAACCTTACACCCTTTATGATTAATCCTCTTTTCCCATAAGTCTTAGCTGTTCAATAACTAAAATCTCCCTTCGCTCTGTCATCACCCTGCTGTCTAGACTTTTCTTTCCTTACCGCTGGCCAGACACCTGCGCCTGAATGAGAGAACTCATCATGAAATTAAGGCTGAGCGTTGAGTCAGAGCCTTTGCTGTCGATGAGCAGATTGAGCTATTTACAGAGCACAATAACAAAACCATATCATCATGTCATATTGTCATATCAACACAGCACTTGTTGCTTTTTTAAACATCTCCTCTTAGGAATGTAAACAATTTTAATAGCACAGCCACATAAGGGAACATTGAAAACTGTGTGGATTTCAGTTCAAGTGATAATTCTCTCATACAAAAAACAAAACAAAAAACAAAACAAAAAAAATGCCTAAAGCCCCTTCACACCAAGGATGATAACTACAAAGATTAAGATATAGTTCTAAAAGTCGTTCTCAATATTAAAGAATAGCAGAGTTCACACCACTATGATACCGGCTCAGAGAAAAGATATCGTTGGAATCACTTTCAGAACGATTTTATCCAGCTGATCTGATGAACGATAAAAAATATTGGCAGGCGATCAGAATCCATTCTGCTGTAACGAGCTCGAGCATTTAAAGTCCGCTGGTGTGGACGCTAGTTATTATAGCCTATCGTTCTTGGTGTGACAGACCTTTTAATGTTTAGGGTGGTTACAACTTACAGCCAAAGAATATCATTGCAATTTGCTTTAGATGATTAAACATTAGGACCAAGTGGCATGTGCAAATAAATTAACTTTTCTCCGAACTAACTTTTCGCAAGCTGTCAACTGGTGTTTTTTAGGTGATTTTTTTATTTTATCGCATGTACAGAGTTCTCCTCAACTTCACACAGGTGTATCACAGTTAACCTACCACAAGTGAAGTTCACCACATTGATATCCAATAACGTCTGACAAACAGACGTAAGTTAAATCTGGTTCAGAACTCGATTTTACATGCCACTGTGCTGCTTTTCAATAGCTTTTCGACTTTATGTAAATGCGTAATGGCAACTTGCTCGCTGCGAGACGTGCAAGTTCAGCATCTAGCGCATGCGCACCAGTCAGGCTTATTTAATAGCGTACATTGTATTCTTTTAATAAAAAAATCAATATTCGCAAATGTACGTTTTCCTGTAAAAAAACTAAAAAAACAGAAAAAATCCCATTACATAAGCTATATTTCAAGACAGAATTAGAACATTACATTTTACATTTTATGAAGCATAAATAAGTTTTGAAAGAATATTTGTAAACGTTTCAATATCGTTTAGATCTATCAAGCCCCTCTAGTGAGCAATTGTTTGTTACATTTATGATGTCTTTTCTTGATTTAAAAATAAAACATTGCTGGTAGACATCATTCATGAAGACATCATTCATGAAGTAAAATATCCTAGGCCTACTAGTTGATTAACAGCCAAGTAGCCAAAACTTTGGGTGCCATTCATTATTTCAGAGTTGCCATAAGGAGTGTTTCTATTCATCAGTAGACCTACTGTGACACAGGCACCCCATCAAAAAAGTGTCCCCTTATTTTTACACTCATGAATATGGATTTTGCAAACATTTCGAATTTTAAAATAGGTCTAGCGATGCCCCTGGCTGTCGTCATGTTTATTATGCGAAATACAGGCACATGCTCACGTCACGATGCTGTTTCCAAAGTAAAGTTTATGTAGCCTAACTACACAGAGAGGACTGTGTACTGTACGTGGCACTGGAGTGGCCCGTGTGCTCTTCATTTGAAGGCCAAACATTCTAGGTTGAGAGCACTTGTATTGTAGGCTTGAACAGCTCCTTGTTTGGTGTGCCAGGGAAGGGCTATTTGTCATGGCCTGAGCTACATCAAATCTACGAAACCAGAACACCAGAAAATCCTTCTCTAACCTAAGTCATCACATTATGTACGTTCTAGGACAGGCCATCCAAAAATTGAAATTCTGTCATTTTTGTTTCAAAAGTGAAGGGGGTTTGGAATGACATGAGAGTGAGTAAATTAGGATTTAGGGCAAACAGATTGGTGTGGATGTTAACGGGGTTTGAGCTCTGTTCCCAGATATTTATATCGGAGAGCGTGTGAGAATTTGCTCCAGTAAAAACAAATGCGGGAAAAGCACAAAGTCTAGACAGAAACCCCTGCCTCATGTGAGTGAGCTGGCTCTGTCTCTGGGGCAGAAACTCAGACAGGCTCTCCACTGACCCTCTGTTTACTGTGTCCCCATGGCAGCAGGAGGGACAACTCCAGGACACGGTGTGGCTGTTTATAGACTGGACGGTCTGCAGGGACTAGATTGCTAGCAGAAGGATGATGTCCAGGATGGCACAATTATCCTTACGGAGACTGTGAATCCCACTAAGAAAATATATGACTTTATTCATGTACTTTTGCACAGAGAGAGAAAAGGCCAAGAAAGACTTTAAAAACAGTGATTGCTTTTACTTTTTGTAGAGTCTAATTGTATATTTTTTGTTGATTTACCAGCAGCAATAGTTTAGCACTTTGCATCTCATGTCTTTATATAATTCAGTGTCTATTCTTGACCAGTTTTTATCCAATCAGAATCCATCACACACTCTAGCACCAAATGTTCAAAGCCAGAATTATACTAGGTTTAATTGAATGAACATATCACAGTGTTCTGTACTTTATAAACATTTGTTTCTGAAACATGCATTATTAAAAATGTAACAAGTATCCATGTTATCACATAAATGATGTAGTAGAGTTATGGACCAGGAACAGCCCAGTTAACTTCACTTCTGATCAGCTATTGCTTAAGAATGGAAGACTGGGTGACAGCTCAGAGCCAGGTGGAAATATTGCTCTGTACAACCATAGGCATCTCTTAATAAATTCTCATACTGGTACAATAATGAGTTTGCACTGACGAGCAGTTCTTTATGAAACAACATGCGCAGGATGTTACTGGTACATTAAGCATAGTGACAACACAGAGACTGCATAATTCCATGAGGTATAATATTGCCTAAATGACATATATTATTGGTTCATGTTTCTATTGACTGACACATTTACATTTCTTGCTTTACCCACTGGAATAAAACTGTTAGTCATACAGTCTCACAGGAAGATTGAACATTTGAATGTGAGTGTACTCACTGTGCTGAACAGATCAAAGACATAGAAAGTGAACAATTAACAATATATTAAGTATATCATAATGAAAAATGTTTGCTGAATGATCAAATAAACAAAAATAGATTTTCACGTACATTTCCTCACTCAAATTGAACCAACTTGAAGAATCGGAGGACGACATATACAAAATACATGGCTGCCAATTGCAGTTTAGTAATTATGACATCATGTGCTCCTCTTATTGGCCATAAATAGATTACAGTGTGTAAACCAAAAGTGATGTGCAAGGTCACCCAACACAGAAATATTTATTATAGGCAGTAGAGACATAAATAAGAGTCAGTTTACGACGGTTTAACATGCCCACTTTTGCCAAAACGCCTTTTGTAAGGGATACTGCATTCTTAAAAACTTTCTCTCTTTAGATTGAAAAACATAAAAAATATTTTTCTCTTATCTGTAAAATCCTTCAAATGCTTAAAGGAATGTCTGGAGGAAGAACATAGAGGCCTAAAAAACCGGAGGTCTTTCTTCTGAACCAGAGAGTTTTCATACTAAAAACATACATGTTGGCAGGAATGGTTAATATCCACTGCCTGACGCAAACATGACACTGCAATACTGTTCAATCTATACGGTCTAGATCAGATCAGACATCAGGTCCAGTGTACAGAAGGGCACCAGACAAGTAGATCATTCCTCACCTGTATTTCACCCTCCCAATGAAGATAAACAGGGCACTTGAGAACTCATATTGTTAAAATTCATCAGCTTAACTAGACGGTAAGCGTACTGATTTTTTCAACTATGAGAAAAATGTAGGCAACCAAATGTTTTAAAGCATTTACTGAAATTCCTAATTAACATAATGGTGTCAACATATTTAAGCCAAATTACATGAATGGTGCAATAACCCCCTTCAAGGCCATTGGCTTCTGTTTCCATCAGTCCAACAGGTCGATGACTGGAACATGTCATGCTATTTCCAGCAGGAAGCTGTAGGTGACATTGTCCATCTCTCCTCAGTATATGTATGACCATCAGAGATGTGTATTAGAAGTGTCCATTTATAGCCGCTTCACATAGTTCCCAGGAAAGGTTCCGAAAAATTTGGTTCTCCTGCACGTTCCTAAAAAAAAAATATATAATATAGAATGAGGCAGGCATAAAAATGTATATATCTAATATCTAAGTATACATTATTAGGTAAAACAATATTTTAATACGAATCCCTCTATTTATTTATCCATAAATCCATTGTTGACAGTATATATTTTTCTTGTTGGAGAATAGCGCCAGCTAGTGGCAAATAAGTGAACATCACTAAAATGCTCCTTGTGTAGTAACAAGCAACAGTATTAAAAATTAGAGTTTACAGTCTTACCCACAAACCATCCATCATCACACTTCTCCATGACGTCAACAACATCCCCCTCCTTCAGTTCCAGCTCATCTTCATTTCGTGGCATGTAGTTATACAGGGCTTGAAATCTGCAAGAGGAAAGGCTCTTTAAGTGTGTATTCTACATTAGGTTATATTAAGTAATATACTGGCCAAATCCCAAAATGAAGTAATGTTACCATAAAACAATATTTTACATTATGTGCACTGGTGAAGAAAAACATGGAGAAAAAACTTGATATACTCACGCTTCTCCAACACCTTGAAGCGGATCATGAACATATGCTTGTCTCTGGGACTGAAAAAGAGAAACCATGAAAGGCCATTTAAATGTTTCCGTCTTTTATTAACAGCCAGAGTTCCACTGTGCTCAATGAGAACCATTAATGCAAAGCCTGAGGCCAGACCTGGATCAGCTGTGTATCTGAACTATGTTCATGATCAAACCCACAAACGTGATTAAATACAGATTGTTTAAAAAAAAAAAGAGTAATTGCATTTTTGTCAAATACGTATGAGATCCAGGACTACCGGGGCTCAAATTCAGGGGTTCTAAGCCATCAAACAACACATTTTCTAAAATGTGTTTATGGATTTAGAAACGGTTGAGAAATGCCTTAAATCCTGAAAACGAGGACTGTACTCCCCTTTTTTGGAAGGAAATGTGGGTAATAGGCTGCTTGCCTGGCCCTGGGGAGTACACCTTGTTTAAGCTGTGTACACAGGAAAGATCATTGGGACATTCCCAAGAGTAATCCAGACACCCCAAACAATCTCAATACAGTACATGGCTTAAACCAATGCTGCATGAGCAAGCCAATCTCTTCAGCTGCTTTGAGCCACAAAAACAAAACAAGAAAGGCTGTCAAAATCCACTGTTTGTGATCCAAGAAGTCATGGACATGCAGGAAAACCACTTCCAGACACATTTCCACATGCAGAACAAACAAAATGTTATCACTCTACAGCACTGTTAGGAATTAAATGTTATTTTCGTGACCACAAAATGCACTAATGCATAAACAGACAAGGCCATGGTGTTAAGAGTATCCCTCATTCATGACTAAGCATTCCACAATATTCTACTGTATGTTGAATATTACTGCATACTGAAGCATCATGTGACCAGACACTGACAACAATATATAATATGGCAGTTTAAACTCTATCATAATATCATTATATCCAGCTATAGCAGCAAAAATGGAAAGAATTGCACTTAAATCAGTGAATTCCCAGGTCAAATACAGTGAATGAGATTATGCGTTGTGCAGGGATACTTTGAAATGAGAGAAAACTGAATTTCCCTTGAGTCACACAAGGTGCACATACTCCCTACCCTATGAGATGGTGAAAAGTTTTGACCTCTAACAGGCGATCCGCAGGACCTCCTAGACATCACAGGGCTACGAGGGGGCTTACCAACAACCACAACATCACGCCTTAACACAGACTGAAAGAACCAGAACCAGGAGAAGCTGAAATGAGGGTTATGTGCAGTCATATACAAACACAAGTTACAAAAATATACACTACCGTTCAAAAGTTTGGGGTCAGTAAGATAAAACTCAGCAAGGACACAGTATATTGATTGAAAGTGACAGTAAAGACTTTTACATTGCTACAAAAAAAAAATTCTATTTGACTTAATGTTAATCAAAGAGTCCTGAAAATATATTGTGGTTTTCACAAAAATATTAAGCAGCACAACTGTTTTCAACATTGATAATCATAAGAAATTAAATAAATATGACCTTGGTGAGCATAAGATACTTTTTTCCAAAACATTAATCTTACCAACCTTGACTTTTGAATGGTAGTCTATATATTAAATAAACGGATTAACATTAATGAGTGAATATACTTTATTTTTGGTCTAAATGTCTCATTATTTACTCAGTTGCCCAACCATCCATAATGAGCGCTACTTGTTTGTTTGTTCCCTCCCATGCCAGTGGACAGAGCTAACAGGGGAAGGCCTATAAAGCAAATTTAAAGGATCCTGGGGTTGTGAGTAGTGAATTTAAAAGGGTTGGGTGATTTAAATATGTCTACGACCTACTAATAATTATGATTCTAGCTTCCCATATAACTGAAATAATTCACTGCATGCCAAACATATGAACTACATTGTTTTGAAATTTATTTATGAATCGTACACACTGTGGTGCAATAAATCTTTCATGGTAATACATACTGCAAGGATTATGTGCTTCAAGTTATATAGGTCACTTTAATAGGGAATGTTAGTGTCTGTATTACGGAGTGGCAAGACTAAAGGGCGGGGTAGAGGATGATTAGCACTACGACAGTCACTAGCAAGCAGCTTGTCTTTACCTTGACCTTTGGGGAGCGGAGGTCCTGTCGAGAGAACAGTTTGGCAGAGAGAGGGGGCGACTGTGAAACCCCAGGCAATGGGGGGGTGTAGCGCGGGGAAGGGGGAGAGTACTTAGCCGATGAGGGCTGTGTGAACTGCAATGATATCTGTGAGGACAGGGGAGGGAGAGAGATATGGAGAGGCATTCTGGGAAACTTCACCCTGCTAAAGTGGAGACTAAAACAGCTATACATGCTAAAGATATGTTTGTAATTCTCTACAGATGCTTCAGGGTTTAAAGGTGAAGTGTGCATTTTTTTCTGCCATTAATGTCACCAAAAAGAACTGCAAAAATGATGATCATTGAAATTAATAAGAATCTGAGCACTCCATTGTTTGTTCCAAAATCATTGAATTTAAAGGGATAGTTCACCCAAAAATGTAAATTCTGTCATCATTTACTCTCCCTCATGTCATTCCAAACCCATCAGCCATTTTTAATCTTAAAAACACAAATTCAAATATTTTATTTTAAATCTGAGAGATTTCTGTCCGTCCATTGAAAGTGCAGGACAGGTAACCAAAACTTAAAAGATCCAAAAAGGTCATAGAAGTTGTAAAATGAATCCATATGAACTGAGTGGTTTAATCAAAGTCTTGTAAAGAGATATGATCATTTTATATGTGCTATATGAACGCTTTTAACCGATTTAATTAAAACAGACGCTTGTGTGTGCGTCACATGCATGTCGTGCAACAACAAACCTCATTGAATCTCGTGCAACACACATATGTTTTGTGCTCTACGTATGTGTGTCGATCATTGTTTAGATGTAAACAAAAGCCTAAATTAAATCTGTTCAGCATATAAAATGATCATATCTTTTCACAAGACTTGGATTAATTCCTATGGGTTCATTTCACAACACCTTTATGACCTTTTTTAGATATTCTAAGTTTTGGTTACCTAGACTTTCAATGGGAGGCACAGAAACCTCTCAGGTTTTATTTAAACAATTCTTAATTTGTTTTCTGAAGATTAATTTATGATCTTATGGGTTTAGATTTATGGTGTTGGAACAATATGGGGGTGACCACATTTTTGGGTGAACTACTCCTTTAATATTTAGTCATCTAAAAAATTACACTCTTCTCCTTTAAGGAAATTTATTTTGGCTTTCCATTTGGGCAGTATAACCACACTGCAAGCACTACCTCAATATCTGAACCCTCACTCTGGGCAGGTTGGACTGGAGCAAACGTATTTGATGTCAGGGGTTCATTTAAGAAGCTGTTGTCTTCTTTCGGCTCTTCCTCTATAAACAGTCTGGGTAGCTTTTCCATTATATCTGGTTCCTGGCAATAAAATCCCTCCTCTTCTACGAACGTGCCCTTTGATTGGCTGGCTTTAATGATTGAAACTAACTCCTCACATATATCATCCTCGGGTTCTTTTGGTGACAGAATATCCAATGGGGATTCGTGGGCGTCAAAAACAACCAAGTCAATAGGGCTACGCAATTTAAGGGGGTCTGTCTGGCCAGGTTTATAATGGTGATCTGAGAACAACTGCAGTTCCTTCTCGGGTAAATCTGATTTTTGACTGGAGAGGATCTCTATGACACTGCCAGACCTGGGGCTGGCGTCAAATGAGGGTGATGTGGGCGAAGGAGTGAAGGAGGTGGAGGTTAGATAAGGTTGAGGAGACAGGCTGGGTTCGGGGGACATGTAAGACTTTGGGGAGGAGATGGGAATGAAGTGGCCCTCTTTGAGCGCAGGAGTGGAGTTGCGAGGAGTGAGGGCGGGAGAGCGGCTCAGTATGGAAGACGCGGGAGAAGGGGAGATGGCAGAGTCCAATACTTCATAGTATGGCTGGAAATTGGAAGGGAAGGGTGGAGGTGTAGGGGCAGGGGTTCCTGAAGGAGACAGACCCAGAGTGAGGGCCAACCACTCGCTGGTGATGGCCTGAAGGTGTGCGGCTCTTTGTGGACTAGGAGAGGATGAGGAGAATGGACGGACAGTTGGGGATGGAGAGTTGTAGAGGGTACGTGCAGATGACAGCTTAAGAGAAAGAAGGAGAGAGGAGAAACAGAAAGTGATAGTGATGATACACGCTGGAAAATAAGAGAACTGATAGTGAAAGTGAATTGTTACGAGAAAATACAACCTAGAAAAGCATGGTACAAAAACAGCACTTTCTATTCAGTATTCAGTTTGTGTTTGAGTTCCATTATGTGTAGATTATTTACTATTTGGATGTAAATATAATCCCATTCATCATGTAAATTAGATTTCACATAATGTATGGCCATTGTCAAAAGAAATTATTAATATAATATCCTAGAAGGCACTTTATTTTCAGAATACAGCCATAGTTCTGCTACATAGCAGAAATGCTGTCATTGTGAAAGCTTGTTGCAGTCAAGCACTCGAGTACTGTAAAGGCTCCGCAGACACAGTATGCGGGGAAACAGGCCTAAGACAAAAGACATGAGCTACAAGGAAGGATATGCCATAATTAATCATTTCATTCACTGTCTGTATTGATTTGTGAGGTGGAAACAACAACAAGTTCACTGAGAGGTCATAGCAAATGTAACTATAAACCAGCAATAAGAGTATCCTGTCCTCACAATACGTTCCACATTTACCCCAGTGCACAATGCTTTTCAAGCACTCTTTGGTAAAATTTAAATAAAAAAATGAGCTAGAAGGACTCATTTTCTGGACAATTAGGTTTCAGTCAGGACTACTTCGCCAAGTATATAAATTTATTACAATTATATTATAGCATACAGTTAGTGTTGCCGGTATGGTTCTGTTCTGGGAAAAATGCAGCTATGCCTGGACAGAGCGGGGAAAGCAGCAAGTCAAACCCCCCTGGGGTACAGAACAGAACCAGTATATGCATACATAATTGAAATTCTCAATTACATGAGTTGTGAAAATACAAATACATGATAGAAAACGCTTGCATTGAATTGAACTGTACGGGAAAAACAAAATAGTCAGAATGATTAAAGGTTCGGTTGGGTGGAGTTGGGGTTGGAGGAGGGAGTTTAAATGCGAGCAGCGATGCTATGGAGGAAATGCTGAAGGAATGGGAGTTTATATGTGCCGCTGTGATAGATGTCGACACTGGATTGGAACACGTCAGGAACGTGTCATGTGAGCTTGGCTGACGTGGCCTGCCTGAACTAACGCGATGCTTGATATTTCTGAATTCCTCAAAAATGTTTTTACAAATATAAGCTGTGTTTGCACTAACGTTTGACAACTAGAAAGTGTCTAAACACGCTCAATTCTGAAGAGTACACAACTGTTCAAACGTTTGGGATCAGTATGATTTCTGTAAGACTTTTACATTGTGGAAAAACATTTCTATTTCCTTCAAACTTTCTGTTCAGTATCACAGTTTCCACAAAAATAGTAACCAGCTCTGCCGTTTTTAACATGGATAACAATAAGAAATGTTAATTGAGCACCAAATCAGCCTATTTCAATGATTTCTAAAGGATCATGTGACACTGAAGACTGGAGTAATGATGCTGAAAATTCAGCTTAGCCATTACAGGAATAAATGACATTTTAAAATATATAAAAATACAAAACAGTAATTTTAAATTGTAATAAGATTCACAGTATTACTGTATTTATTTTATTTTATCTGCATTTTATCAAATAAATGTAGCCTTAGCGATCATAGAATACTTCTTTCAAAAACTGTATATCTGTTGATTTATCTTATTAATAGATAAATTACATTGGTTTGATATTGTGTTATCTAATGCAATAATATTCATCTTTTGTGTGTGACTTAATTGTCCAAATACTTTATGGTGTCAGTGTGTGTAGTACAAAGTTGAAATGTATCTGCTACAATGTTTGCTATAATAAGAAAAAGCAAGATACTAGTGCAGTCCAGTCACATTAGTTCACCTTTACAGAAACGTCCCTTTCAGTAACAGCTAGAGCCGAGTAGAACATGTATAGCACAGCAGGTCATGTCCTGTCCACGTTGTAATTAGCCTATACTGGATACTGGCAGGATGTGTGATAAATCTGATCTAATCCTGCTGAACTCGGCTAATGTGAGCGAAGGAATAAGCCTTTACTTCTTTGTTCTTTAGATGGAATTACAACTCAAGGGCATTTAATCTAAACTCAGGCTTATCTTACACAACAAGCCAAAGGTAATCTAAAGATGACAGAGGTGATCTATTTTGGCATTGGGACAGTTGCCATCTGAGAAAGGATTAATTTTGTACTTGCCACCTTGTTGACACTGATAGTGATGTACATGACCTATGGCAATATGAGTAACATGATATAAATGAGAGGTTTTACTGCCTCTGACGCCACCGTTTGTCGGCAAGGATCATATGTATTTAAAGTATAAGTCAGTATTTACCTAGATAAGATCATAAAGTCACTTAACTGGATGAGAGTATATATTTTGCGGATATAAGTTCCCTGAAATTCAGATATCTTTAGTCACAATGATTAAAACCTCATGAGACTGTAATATGTGATCATTTTTAGACCCTTAAACTGTTGTGGTTTAAACCCTTTAAGTACATTTTTAGGTAAAATTGCAGCTGAAAACATACCCTACTGTTCAGTCTGTCACTGGAGTAGTTGGTGGGTATATTGGGCCCAGGAGGCTGACCAGTACTTTGTACTGTGGTCTTCTTAACGACGTCCACATAAGACACTGGAAAAATCCCTTGTTTGTTTGTACCTTGGATCTTGCCCTCAAACCAGTTCTTATCCACCTGCCGCACCAGAATAACGCGCTCGCCCTGGAAGACACCAACACAAGATATAAGGTGGTATATCTGGTGGATCGAAAGCAAAAATGCAGTGCAAAAAGACAAAATTATAACCAAATAGAACGTATTTGATATTTTGTATACAACTATGTGATGAAGTTGTGGCTGGCTGGGGCCAGAAAGTTTAGTTTTTTTAAGGTGTTTTACGTCTTGGCACTTTTTTCTTATTTGGTTAAAGCACAATGTTAGAGTTCAGAACATTAGCATTCAGTAAAAGTGAGAATTATTTAGCAAAAGACATGTTCTTAAAGTGGTAAGAAACATTAAAGGGATAGTTCACCCATAAATGCTCACCCTCAAGTTGTTCCAAACCTGTATGAGTTTATTTCTTCTGTTGAACACAAAAGAAGATATTTTGAAGAATGTTGGTAACCAGACAGTTTGATTGCCAACATTGAACAACTCATGGAACAACTTGAGGGTGAGCAAGTGATGACAACATTTTCAATTTGGGGTAAACTATCCCTTTAAGGAGTGGATTAATGAGCAGTTGCTGACACTAAAGCATATTTATGACATCAGTACTAAGAAAATGTTTACTTTTCTTAATGAAAGTTCCACATTAGTATCAGCATTAAAGTTGTAGCGGGCAATTGCTTCTCCAATTTCTCTGCTTTGGGCTGGAGGAGGAGGTCTCGCTGGCTGATGTCTCTCTGAAGGAGGGATTTTCTGTGAAGAGACACAGAAATTGGAGGAGAAATCAGGCTACTTCAGAAGATAGTTAATAAGAATAACAATAATTAACAGTATAAATATATAGTGTTTCTATTAGCTAAACATATTTATCACTAAAGTACGCACCTCAACATATGAGATGGGGAAGATGCCCACATGGCCACGATATTCTCCCTCATACCAGTTATTATCTATCTGCCGAGTGATGTATACCGTCTCTCCTTTCTTAAACGTCAGCTCTCTGGAAGGAAAAAAAATTAAGCAAAGGAAAGACATAAATAATACATGAAAATGTACTAGTTGATTGTAGCACATCAAATGCAATAAGAACAGAAACCGGTGACATGGTTTGCAAGTTGTTCTTACTTCGCTGTCTGCGCTTTGAAGTCATATATTGCTCTGGCTGGCAGTTTCTGTCAAGTGAACGAAGCAGAGCAATCAAACTTTAATACATGTTCTCATTATTTGGGTTTATTCACAATTTGACCAAAGCTTAGATCAAATATTTGAGTTTCTACTATAATTTTCCAGGAACATTACAGAGTGATGCATATTCCCTTACCTCTCTGACTTCAGGGGTTTGTCTTCTGCTCTGCTGTGTGTGGCTGCCCACATCAGGGTAAGAGTATTCTCTGGATGTGTCCTGATCTAGAAAAAAACAGAGAAGTAAACTGATTCAAAGACAAGTCTCACAGAGATCCAACACTATTACATGCATGGGAACAAGCAAAAGCAAAGGAAGTAATGATTTGGGGCTTGATGAGAGAAATGCACACAAAAGGAAATTTGTGGAAAAAAAGGAAATATGAATATATTCATATTTTATTGACAAATTAAAAGTAAATATATTTTATTGTCCATAATAATGAAGTCAACTCCCAAGAATCATCTCAGAAGTTATGTTATACCCATCCACTTAGATCCCCAGTATAGATCATGCGTATTTATACTAGAACTGCAAATGGTTAGCTGGCAACTGTGCCAAGTGCAGGCAAGCCCCCTTGCTCTGATCAGTCTTCATTTATAAACACTATTAACTATGCAAAAGTATACAGTGTCGCATGTCTTTATGGTTAAAAAAATCATAAACATTGACCTTCTCACAAAACAAATAAACTAAAACTTTAGGTACTGAGGGTGATCTCAACACCAACATATTAGACAGAGTGAACTGTGTTAACACTGATAAGAGAGTATGTTTCTTCCCAGGCCAATAAAATCTCAAATCTGTTTTTAGATTGCATGCTTCAGCTGCTCAAGTCATCTGTCTAAAGCTATTTTTATAGACTGAAACTTTACAAAGTTACATTTCTTTTGTGGCAAGCCAAGCCCACACACAAAGTAGTGTTCCTCTAGTGTTTTGATTCCCAGACAATGCATTAACCTAATAAAATGTATACCTTAAATAGATAAAATCATCTACCAAATACAGAAATGTATTGTAAATGGAGTAGGGAAATAACTTTAAAGAATTGTTTGGGGAAAAAAAGGACAATTTGATAAAATGAGAAAATAAAAGAAAAGATGAAGCAGAGGATGTGGGAATGTGAGTCATGCTCTCTGATGCTCCTTGCAACATAATGATTCCTTTTTCTAAACCAGGGGTGTCCAATCCTACTTCTGGATGGCCACTGTCCTGCAGAGTTTAGCTCCAATTAAACACACCTGAACCTGCTCATCAAGGTCTTCAGGCTTACCTGAATCTTCCATGCAGATGTGTTGGGGCAAGTTGGAGCTAAACTCTGCAAAATGTTGGCCCTCCAGGAGCAGGTTGGGACATCACTGCTCTAAGCAAGCACATTAACAAACACAGATGGAACAATGCAATGGTGGAGGAGCAGAACTCAAACACAGGGGACGAAGGGTATTTAGGAAATCAAAGATGGATGAGTAGAGTCCACCTTGATAGCAGAATTCAGAGTTGCGGTTCATCTGGTTGTTGTTGCTGTCTATATGGTTGTGAGAGGCACTATGGGACAGGTGTGAGTACTCGGGTTGGTGAGTGTCCTGGCTGGGCATGCCATCAGGCTGTGGGTGGTAAGAGCGAAGTTGAATTGTAGGGCTGCCTCTCCCAAGCACGTGCAGAGAGGAATTCCTCTCAGGAATGTCGGGAAGCAACTCCACCAGCAACCTATGGAGGATGGTGTTGTCCGGCAGGCTACCCCTGCATTTCTCAGTGCGGATGTGGTCGTAGATGTCTTTTAGGGCAGAATCTAGAGCATCATACATGCAGCTCTTTGAGTTTGGTATTTGGGAAAAACTCAAAGGTGACAGGTTCTTCCGGCGGAAAGGCACTGGGCTGACCAGGAAGGCAAGCTTGCTGAGGCCAAACTCAGATTCCTCTACGCGCAAATGTTGCCTCCGGTCCTGCTTGGCCCTCTCGTGCTTGATCATAGTGGTGAATCGTGTGTAGGAAGCCGGGCAGCGGCCCTTGCAGGAGCTCACAAGCTGCCTGTGATAATGATGTTGGTGCCCCGATCCGCAGAAGCTCTCTGATGAGGCAAATGAACACAGGTCAAACTCCCTCTCGCTGCAGAAGGATGAGCCCTCAATCTGGATGAAGTCACTAAGATCAGACACTACAGCATCATGTTCACTGTCTGAGTAGTCGTTGTGCATGGCAGAGTTTTGTAATTGGTCACTGGTGACTTGGATGTGGATTGGCACATGGGTGTTTATCTTGGAGTATTGAGACCGTCCTTCAGGGGGATTCCTGGCTGGTGGTTCTTCATCCAGTAATGACTCAATAGAGAGGCTACGCTTGGGGCTGCTGATCCTCCTAAAAGAACCCCTGATCAGGCACTCATCTCCAAGATTTGGCATGGATTTGGATTTCTGGATCAGACTCTCATATTTAGAAATCCTGTTGTGCACCATGTTCCTAGGCACCGCTTCGTTACAGCCCTTGTTACCAGTGCATCTGTCCTTCCGCTGTTCGCTCTCATACTTATGGATCCTAGCTTTCACAGAGCAGATCACGGTAGAGTTTATCAGTTCTTGCCGGTTGATGTGATGCATCTTCTTGTAGAGTTTGAGGAAGCCTGGTGCATCGTGGGCTGAGCGGTGCCTGATCTTCTCCCTAAGATCCTCAGACTCTCTGATGTTATTGCATTGTGATGCCTCTACTTCCCCGTTGTGCAACAATGAACCGATGCTTTCTGAACGGGTTTTCACTTCTTTTCCCCTCCCCTCAGCCAGGAGATCATCACAACTCCAGGATTTGAGCTTAGACGTGGTCTCTTCTGTGATCATCCAGTCTTCTGGGTTCTCTTGGGCTCTTTTCCAGCCTTCAGGGAGGCTGGAGAACCCATCTGAGAAAGCTGAGTCAGCCATAACACTGTCCTCATTTTGCTCTTTGTTTTGATATGTGGATTCTGAGGTAGCATGGTTTTGATTTTGACCATTTAAATGTGCTGTGTGCATATAGCTCACATTCCCACCTTAGATATCCATCACAAGCAGCATGGTAAAAAAAGAGACACGAGAAGACATTAAAAGGTAATTGATCCATGGGAGAGACAAGTAAGGACGTTTATAAAATAACCTGGAAGAAAACTGGAAAGAAATCAGACATCTTGATCAACAAGCCGACGTTGAATAAAGAAGAAGCAATTGATATGCTACACTACACTGGGGCAAGATTGTACACACTAAATAATTCATTGAACTTTATTCATGCAAAGGGAAAGTCATTTAAAATTCTGCTTGTGCTGTGAGGAGCAAAATGAATATTGTCAGTGAACCTTCCCCTGTTGCTTATTCTTTCAATAAGGTGAACGAATGTGACTGTTCGTCTGAGGTCTACCTTTAGTCCTGGTGGCGGCAGGGGAACCGGGGCTGGTGAGGGGATTCCTCTGAGTGCTGCTGCTCTTGGGCAACTCTGGTGGTCTCATAGACGTTTGTGCTGTGCCCACGCTGCTCTGAACCCTGGGCTGAGTTGTTGCAGGTTCAGATTTCCTTCTCCTCTTATTATCACTTGCAGAGCTGCAGAATCAGTGTCATTGAAGTAAAAAGAGTAAAAACACTGCTAAAGATTTTCTGAACGTTACACTTAACCTGTTCTGTAATGTTATGACCTGCTTCATACATCCACTGAGAATGACCTTGGGACCAGTTAGTTAAAAGTCATTGTAAAAATGTTTTGAGAAAATGTCTGTTTTTAGATATCCCATTTTTTGATATATTCATATTTTATATAGATATTAGATATTTTAAAAAATCTATGAAATTAAATGTATAGATTTTTGTGACGCATATGTCCAAATGTTTTTTGGGGTCATTGATACACAGTAAACCTACCTTGATGGCCTTTCAAGGCCTGTGGATGGCTGATAAAGGGAGGTCTGAAACAGATGAAGAAGAAAGAGCAGGGTGAATTCCTCATTTAATGTCCACACTTACGGTACAGTAGGTTCCTTGATACCTAGAGCTCTCCAAATCTACCAATGGTTAAAAACAGTGAAACTTCTTATGTTTGGATACGGTGACATGGGCTGTCCTTCGAAAAGCCCAGCCATTCCCAGGACAGCTAGACGCATTAGATCACTTACAAGGGTTTCTATGTCGAACAAAGCAGGGAATTCCTTGTACGCATGGCTGGAGTAGATAATCATCTTCCTGTTTGCTGAAGCTCTGAGCAGTGTTATCTGGAACAGCTCTTCAGACCAGCAGCAGACGCCCCTTGCGTTTTTTTAACCCTCTTTAAAAGTAGCCCAAGCATGCAGTACCAGGAATGTCTCCACAGAGTGACACATTTACATCTAGTCAACATAAATACAGCTCTGAGTGACAGAAACCACACTACACAGCTTAAAATTTGGCTGCAAAGCCTCTGTGACCATTTTTAGCAATTCTTTGTTTGTATTTACAGCATTCCTCAAACCATAACTGTTACTACATCGACCTCTAAGTTATATACTTTCCTTACAGTGGTCAGTAGCAATTCACAGGAAGCAATTCATTTAAAAAAAAAGTCATTAGAGATTTTAGGGCAAATTCACTCACAGATGCACCACTTTTGCATGTGATAGTTATATGCAAAACATTGCGTCTTGTTCACTACCTAGTTCAGTTCAACCCTTATTCATAATTAATTTCTCCAGTTGACAGCCAGCAAACTATATTTACAATGACAAAAAAAAGCCCCTGAGTGAAACAGGATATGTAACATGATACTGTACAGGGCATGTCCATAGATCCTTCACCTACTACAAACACATGGACAAAATCGACAGATGAGAGCCAGGAGGAAGTGACAAAAATAATAGACAAAAATGTTATTATGACAAAAAAAAGAAGCTGGCGTGGTTGTAGATGCAGAACACCGATTCTTGAGACATGGGACAAAACATGTCCCGCACTTTCACCTGCCATTGCTTTTAAAAATAGCAGCATTTTCACTTAAATAATGATCAGAGATGTTCACCAGAATGTTCTTAACAAAAATTTACCATGCCATCCTAATATGCAGCCAACTGTTTATTTAATCAAAATTATAAAATGACATGAGCTGTATCTCAATTTGTGTACTTATGCACTATTCTATGCCATTTTACAGTATAAGTACAGTACTTGTAAGTAGTGTCCAAAAAGACACTAAAAAGGATCCTGTAATACAGGCAAAAGGCAAAAGTTTTATTACACTGTCACTCTTGTAAAGAAATAGTTTTTCCTCATTTTAAGTATGTCTTTATACATATTTGATATGCCCATTATTATTATTTTAAATCAAATGCACATTATTTATGTATCTCAGAGTGATGAGAGTTATGGCAAAGGAAAACACATTTTGTGAGAAGCAGGAGGTTGCAAGTTAAATGAATAACTCTGAACATGATTAACAGAATGATCCAAAATAATTAATCTGTACATAAGCTTTTATTTTGTCCGTTATGATGTCTAATATGTTCCATATCTCAAGGATCAAATAGTGTATTGCTCCACTTGAAACAATGGGCTTATTGTTATAACCGAAGTTAAGTGATGTTGGGTTGGGTTGGGTGAGGTTGGCATCAGCCTATTTTGGTTAATTTCTCTCTCTCTCTCTGTCTCAGTGAATCAGTCAGTCATTATAGTATGCCAGTGAAGAAGTTAATCACTCACTCACTTATTGAATCGGATTCATTCATTCATTCTTTACCTCTGCGCAGAATCGAGGTGCGCTCTCTGGATTGTAATCAAGACATTTTTTGGGAGGCTTCACCCAGAGGTGGGATAGAGGAGGGGAGGAGCAGAGAAACAGTGACATAACAAGGGAGAAAGTAAAGTCACATGACTGAGGAGATTGAAGAACAATGTGACGACCACAAACTGAAGTTGCACATATGCAACAAAAACACTACATACTGCATTACATCTGCTTCATTACAACCTATAGCACGCCAAGCCTAAGACTACAGAACTACACACACCTTGCACAAAGAGTAAGACAAAAGTGAAACATCTAGTTTGTAAATCCAGCAAACAGTAAAAGTCATGCAAATAATAGTAAAATTAATTCCACAACAGATTTTAAAATAAGTGAACAGTAGTTTAATGTGCATAAAAAACAAGAAATCAAAGCCTTAAATGCAAAGACTAAAATGCTGGTAAGAGTAAGCGAGGCTCGTTATCAAACTCCATCGTATGTGTTACAGCGTCCGGAATTGTCTGGTCATTCCAACCAGTCATTTCAGACATGACCATCACGGGACGACAGCATGTGCAGCACGTATCTGACCTTTCCAACCCCACACCAATCACAAGCGGCATGCTAGCAGCACCAAACCAAAGCCACACTTACCGGCCGCCCAAACTCCAGTTCAGCAAAGAACTTATACCATGGCTCATTCTCTAAATCTAAGTCCTCAGGTCTTAGGTTACTTGTCTGGTGTTGAGAATGAAAGCAAGTGGGAGAGGAAGATGAAAGGAAGGGATGAACTGAGGTAATCATGGGAATGTGACAATCAGATGTAAAATGAAAAATGTCTTCAGCTGACGAGAAATTATGAAAAGTTCAGCAGAGTTCAAAACTTTTATAATATGTTGAAAATAGCAACAGAGCAAAGGCTGTTATTTATTTCCCGCCCCCTTTCCAGCAGAGGGCAGCGGCACATAACAAATGCTCACTGCACAAGGACAAACTGCTCCAACAGGAGCAAATTGGTTTCTCCAACCTTATTAGTGACCTTGACCACATTACGCTCTAATGGACCTGCAATTTATGTGTTCTATTGAGTGACTCTACACAAGCTTGCTGAAGCACTTCCGCTCGATTAGGGCAAACGTTTGTGGTGATTCTTTTAACATATACAGAATGCTCATCATGTAACTACAACTGTTGCCATGTATATTGTCAATACAATTCCATTAATTTATAAGAACAACTCAGTTTAGTCAATCAGTGTATGGTGTATCATGCCTGAAGCGCTGCTGACACTGTGGATTCACCGATTGATAGTATTTCATTAGTTGCATCTGGTTTACGATCTGTCTATACCCATAAAGTCATGGGGCATTAATTCTAAGATCAATATATGTTTGTGCCTTCAAAAACTAAACTGAAATTGAAAAACTGCCTCATAAACCTTATGGACTTTGTGCTGCTAACTTCAAACAAACCATAAATAATGAATCTATCTTTAAAACTATGTTCTCATTGTATTTAGCTCACTTCATTCAATCTGGGTCTTTTTCATGCAAAAATTATAGCATATTAACATTGAAAAAACATGATTATTTACCGTTCTTTCTTGCTCTAAAATAGATGATTTCCCCGGCTCATAGTCAAAAATACTCCTCGGCTCTGCTCTGTATTTCCGTGTGTCAACCTTTCTATCAGGAGGTCCCCACTCATTCCTGGGAGACATGCAAAGAAAAACAAATATTGCCTGTAAATATTGCTGTAAGATGCATGATCAAATCTTTTTCAAATCTGAAAGTCCTTAAAAAAAAGTGTGCCTGAAAAATGGTTCTCACATGTCAGGTGTGCTCCTGCCTCTCTGTGGTGCCTCCCTTTCACTGGATCTCTGCTGTGTGGATGCTGATGTGGGCAGAGGAGAAGGGAGAGATGAGGCAGCAGGTACCCTGAAACCGTATACGCCATTATCAGAGACACTCTTGGTGATGGGCCGGTAGGTGTCGGTTTTAGGTGCAGGATGGGCCTGAACAGCATTAGGGGCAGCATGCTTATCTGAAAGAAATAACAATATATATCAATATGGTTAGTTTCAAAAAGCAGTATAATAATAATAAATATATAATCTGTATATATCTATATATAATCTATACAGAAATGTATTTTTATTGAAATTACAAAATTATTTATTACGACATAAATTAACTTATTTTTGAAACAAAAAAAAAAAAAAAAATAACAACTTAATTATACGTATTGCAACTGGTTTATACTAGTATTTTTAATATATTTTTTTGGCAATAGTATGTTTGCTTTACTGTAGTTAAAGAGAAGAGAAACCTTGTTTGGAAATAGTTGTACCAGTACTTGTAACAGGGTCTGTGGCAGTACGGGATCCAGACCACTCGTTCTCTGTGAAAACAAATAAGCTTTTTTTATTTTTTTATTAACACAATTTAAATAAAGAGTCAATACATCATCAATCCTTCTACCAAAACATGTTCTCACAACGAGCGAGAAAGGTTGACATGGAGCAGCTAAATCTCGAACGTCCGGGAATCAGCCATTTAACAAAAATGCAGAACAGAGGAGAGTCTGCTGGCCAAAAGAAAACGCAACAGAGCTCTTAATAAAACTCCATTGATTTGGCTTTTCGGAGATGGTGTTTTTATTGCTGAATAGGTGGGTAAGGTATTTTATTGAACAGATAAATTGCCATATATAGCTCTCTAACAGAGTTCATTGTAAAGCATTATCAATTGTGAAGGGTCATTTGGTTGTTGTGCTGTACTGGATTTTTGTTTTTTCAATGAAGTACCATGTCTATTAATGGGTATAGCTTCAGTGACATCTTCAGATATTCAGATAACCATATTCATCCACACAGTCACACAGAACCGAAGCACAACCAACCAACACAATGTTCTTCTGCAAAATGCATGCGGTTTTGTTTTTTAACCGTTAGAGGGCCAAAAGTTACATAGTGTACCTTTAACATGGATTGCACATACCACAAACAAAAACTGCATACAGAGTCCTTTAAACTTAACAAAGTAAACAGTCTCATTAGCAGGATGTGGGAGTAAGATAATACAAAACATAATAAGACGCAAAATGACGATGTTGATCCTTTGACCCTTGTAATCTTTTAGGCAAACCCTCTGACAGTCCATTACCAGTAATGAACACACTTGTAATCCACAACCTGCTGAGCAAAGCTCTTTTGTTGTCACTCCTCATTAGATGGCCCTAGGTTGCACCTCTCTCTCTCTCTCTCAAAAAAAAAAAAACTATCCGTTTAGCCGACAGGTCCGCAGTCACAGAAAATACAGGTCTTTATTTATTTTATCTGACACAATTAAGGGGGTCATGAACTGCATTTTTTTTTATATTCTTATAATGTTTCCTGAGGTGCACTTATGATGTTAGTATGATTTTTACAAATTGTCATAATTTAGAAATAAAGGCCATTTTCTACCCTGATTTTAGCCCTCTGATTTGAACGCTCTGTTGGAAGGGGTGTGTCTGCTGTGAGACTTCAGTGTAAACGCCCACTGCTCTGATTGGCTAACATCTTTGCATATGAAAAAAGTATGACATGTGGAACTCTCTCGAAAACTTTCATCACATCTAACAGTTCAAACATGATGTAAATAAGAGTGTAGACAGCGTCATTGATTATAATGGGAGTTTTGGCGAGAGTCCAGAGTCCAGTCACCCTAAACTTGCGCTGTGTGATAGACAGCTCCAGTGGTTATGAAGGGAGGGTTCTTTGATCGCTTTTTGTATATAATGTAATCACAATTTAAGAAAACAGATTATTTTCATGCTACTAAGAGAAACAATATGAAGTTGATTGTTTAGTCACTGACTTGATTTACTGATACATAAACAGCAATAAACGATTTTGAAACAAAGAACGTCTGACTGTACACGAATCATATCAGAAGTCACTGATCACATTAGGCATTGGAATGAACACATTTACTTATATGTTGTGGCATTTCTCCGTTACACATATCTAACAGGAAAAGTCTGTTTGCAAAGCCAGCGCCGAAATTACGACTGATTTATCAAAGAATCCACAGTGAATTGTACCGAACAAACAAATAATGCTCTACTGAGACATTCACATAGTTGAAAATAAATAACCACTTTCCTAGCATTAGGATCCTTTGGAAGGTAATGTTATTTTTAGCTAGTGACCCTGTATCTCTCTTCTCTCCTTCTCATCTCACTAATTCATCAGCGGCCTGGGCCTAAGACACGATGATGTAGAAATAGGCGTTGATTTTCTTCTGCAAAGGCGGTCTTTCGTTGCACTATTATGTCATAATGTGACAAAATCCGAAACAAGTCGTTTTCGGAGCTTGGTTTTAATAAAAGCTGTTTTTAGACAAAGGAGGACGTTTTAAGTGCTGGAAAATTATCTTTTTATAGAACAATGACCTCTTAAATGTCATTTTCCTCTCAAAAATCAAGGAAAATTTGATTTCTCAATTCATGACCCCTTTAAAATCACAATAGCAATGAGACGAGTGTTCTGTATATCCCTTGCATTCAAAACAGTATCTGTTTATGTCATGTACAGTGTAAAATAATACATTTTAAATGTACACGATAACACAATCTTGAATCCTGTTTAGTTTGCAAAAAAATTATTTCAATTCCTATGTTGCATAAATGCTCAAAGAATAGCTTTTAAAAATGTGTAATAAAATATGTTAGTATGTCAGTGTATGACTAGAACATTCCTTCTAATAACCACATAATAGGCTTGTTCTAATTAGGGCTTTTTGAGACTTCTTTATTTACATTTATAGGACATGCAAGGTATAACGTTTTAAAGTAAAATGAAGGTAAATACACAAGATCCAGTCTTACCTGATTTAGGCACCACATGAATCTGTTTGAACATGGTCTTGTACCAATCTTTTGGCCTGTCAACAGTCTAAAACAATATACAAAACAAACATTTTTAGATTACAGGCATTCCTAGTTCTTACAGATTAAGATTCCAAGGTCCAAAAACATAGTTTAGAAAACAAATAGCAACCCGAATGTGCTCCATGACCTTGAGTCCAAAACTCTGGATGCAAAAGCCTCCTATAAAAATGCTGATGCAACTGGCCTCTCTATGTTAAGCTGAGAGAGACACATCACTGTCTGCTGGTCCATCAATGATGCTGAGCACAGCTGCCCCTGTTTCCCTGGGGCTAAATAAAACTCAGTGTGGGAAAATGCAATTTAGAGCACAAATCAAAACAGCCAGTCCCATGTGACCAGAGACCGATTGAAGATTAATTCTGGAATTAACAATTACAGGTATGCACTTCCTACAATTTCCCCAGAGCCAATAAAGAGTCAGGCAAGTTTTATCAAAATGAATACTAGGCTTTTAGGCAAACATGTTTGAAATATTATTATAAAAAATTTACATTAAAACCATGATTTACCATATATGTGTTACTTTTCAAATGCCTTATTATAGATTACAGCTTTGTATTGTTGTGCCCTTGTACCAGACCCAAATTTCAATTATAACTATGAAAATAGAATTAATAGATTAACATATATTAACACAAAATTATCTATTTTCTGTTCAAATTACCCCGATGAAATAAATTACACCAAAATGTATTTGAAATGCATTTATTTTATGCTAAGTATACTTACATATTTATGTACTACATATAAATACCCTGCAATTTTTCTTTTGGTATACTAAATGATATACTTAAAGTCTGCTAAATTAGAACAACTAATTTTGTTCTTAATGCACTTTAGTTATCTGTAAATAGTGCTGAGGTCCAAATAAAGATAAACTTACTGTAAGTACCGGTATATTTGATTGTGCTAAAGTGGAACTATTGCAAGTATACTTTAGGTACACTTTAAATATCTTGCATTTAAAGACTGATATCATACAGAGATCATACTATCCTTATGAATAGTTATATTAAAACACATTTTAGGCTTAATATTAAGAAATGTGCATTGTGCAATAAAGTACTCCGAAAAAAAAGTTGAATTATAATATTTATTTCAGTAAGTCTCAAGGGATATTTGAGTAAATATGTTAATGGGTTTGCAGTATACTTAGTATGAAATAAATATATATAAATACATTTTGGTATAGCTTTTTTTTCACTAGGGTATTTTATATCAATTTAGAATTATCATTCATTAACAGAATATTTTTCCTGTGCATTATCTGCAATTAAAGTGTAATTTTGTAAAATAATAAAAAAAGGTCATCTAATTTCCATCACATGCTTTAAAACACAATACATTATTTGAGATGTGTTAGAAATGCCATTGTGGTGGAAATGTTCATAACTTTTATAGAGAAATTACAAAAATATCAGAAGTCCACAGAGCCAAGATACCCATTAATGCCCACATTTGAAGAAACACCCATTTACAGCTTTAATAATTTTAATAATATTTTATTCCTCAACAAGGATTATATCTATTCTAAGATGCACAGCATAATATGGGGTTACACTTTATTTCTCATTAGTGTATTAGTAGACTATTAGTAGACTGTTAGGTTAGGGCTAGGTGTTAGGGTTCAGGTTAGTAGAATAGTTTATTTTATGTTATTTTATATTAGTTGTAAAGTTACTTATAGTAGAATGTCTGTTGAGGAACCATCAAAATAAAGTGTTAGCAGATATTAAGCAGACAGTCTACTACTACTCTAATGAGAGTTAGATGACGTGTTGTTGCAAAGGTACTTATAGTTAGTAGAAAGTCTAAAGTGGGCCATCAAAATAAAGTGTTACCAAATATGGAAACAAAAGATTAACATCCCAGAATAGCATTAACTCACCGTCCGTATGGCAACGGGAATCCCGGACTCATCCACAGGACCGATGCCAGTATATTGCGGAGCTTTCCCTGTTGTTTCTTTCCTGTCAGTATGTGGTGCTCGTGCAGGAGGATCCACGTTGCCGTAGATTGGGGTGCTAGACTCGGAGGCTGATGGGTGGAAGACAGGGTCAAGTTGGGGTGAGTGAGTTTTTAGTAATTCCCATGGAACTAACCAACATTCCCATGTTCGTAACTGTGAAATACAGCCAGATCAGGGATGCAGTGCACACTGTAATTCCAAATCAGGAGAAAGAATCCATAAATATGTTGATTCCAGTATTTCAGCATAGAATATTAAACATAGAATAGAAAGCAGCTCTACACACAGTCCGACATGTACAGGCATCCAGACTGAAGCCTTTTGGGGAAAAAACAGCTAAATGCGCTCTGCAAAACAAAGGCCAGCCCCACGAATACAGACGCTCTAATCCCAGTGTCTCAGCTCCTCCCTCACCCCAACCGCTCCGTCGCTCAGATTTGAGCTTAATCCCCAGCATTTGCCACTTGGGATTAGAGAGATCGCAGCAGCATGCTCAGAGCAGACCAGTTCAGATACGCTTAGTGTCACACGGCCAGTAAACACCGCTACAGTCAGGTCACACTTTCTTACTCATTAGTACTTCATTAGAGCCTGGCACATCAACAGTGATCTATCAGAGATTCTTTTTACAGCGGTACTGCAATGCTTATGAGATACACTTGGCAGGACAGGTGGATGGTAGGAATTACTTAAACATCAACAACAGCCATTCTGGAATATATGTATTTTTACGGTTCTGCTACACCATGTCTTTGATTAATTATTAAAGCCATGTTCACAAATTATGCTATTTATTAGGGCTGAGTATCAACAAAGATGTCCTGATTCAATTTGATTCTGATTCACAAACTCTTGATTCAATTTTGGTTCACTTCATTAGGGCATATTTCAGTTATAATGTTCATTTTGCTAACATAAGAAATACATTTTCTCTCTGTAAATTACACAGGTCAGTGTTTCAGACTGATTAAAACTAGTAATGAGTCTTATTGAACTTCATTTAAAAAAAAAAGGTTACTTTAGGAATCAGCCATAACAAAACAAAAACATATAGGAATATACTGGAAGATAAAAATGTGATATAATACATTTCCATATAATGTATTATATTCCATGTATTTTTCAATATACGGTAACACTTTATTTTGATGGTCCACTTTAGACATTATATTGACTTTGACTATATGTAATGTTGCACCTACAAGTTAACTAACTCTCATTAGAGTATTAGTAGACTCTGCTTAATATCTGCTAAACACTTTGTTTTGATGGTCCCCAACAGTTATTCTACTGACTATAAGTAACCATGTATGGCAATATACAGTATTGATACATATAAAATGAGAGTCAGCTTATGAGAGTAATTTGTTCATGAATCAGACTGCTCTGGTCACAAACTGACCTATAACTTATTTTTCACTATTTGGGAGAAAATGTTTCAGATTGTATACATTTTATATGGTTATACAACCTGTGGCTGTGGTTAAATTAGCTACAAACTGAGATGCAATTTACCAGTTTCTTTGTTCTTACAAATGATGAAATTATATTACTGAATAACTCACCAGTGGTTCTAACGTGCTGCATGGCTGTAATACTAGGACTCAGTGAAGGAGGAGGGGGGTATGTTGAGGGAGAGAAGGGTCTTTGGAGGTGACTACGAGGACTTGCTGGCACAGTCAGACCCCCGTTCACAGTCATCTGGCCCTGTATAACACAACACAGAGACAATGTTATTTGAAGAACCTTTAGGCATAATAAATTACACTGAGATCGAACTATTATGCCACAGATGACATCTGTTAGCCTTAATAAAATTGACAGAGGATAAAGAACAGAACAAGGAAAACAAAACCACCAAAGACTAGTAAAATAAGCAAACAAAATACAGTGCCCACAAACAGGGAAGATATTCAAGAGGTGGGTGCGGTTTGGACAATCGGTTTTAGAATTTGGAATTAATTATTTCCAGGAAGTGGTTAGTATTAAGTGTTAGTATACAAAAAGAGATTCCACAGGTGCAGTACAAGAAGAAGTCTCAACTAAACCATGTTCGCCCACACCTAAAATCTTTGACAAAGACATAGTGTGACAAAGACAAACTGAGCATTGACACAACATCAAGACAATCTGTATTGCAAAATGTGTTAGTGACGACCATTGAGTGATGCAGAGTTGATGTGAATCTAGAGCAGAGGTGAGGTTAGTATTTTTATAATCCCACAGAAGAAATGCTGAAACCACTAAATGTGAACACAGGACAAGTGATATTGTTGTTTGTTAAACTAGCCCCTAAAACGCAGAGGAATGGGACCAAATTAGAAACAATCGACAAGTTTGTACAGAGCTAGTAGAAATGAGCTAAAGGAGTTTTCAAATGGATAAGAGAGGGAAAAAGAACAGAAAATTCTTGAAAAAGGGTGAGACAGAAACAATAAATATTGTTAAAAAGGTTTGGTTTGGTAATTTTTTTTCTTCTAAAGTCTCAAAAAAATGCTGGTAATCTATTTGATAAAAAAAAACAGTAAAAATACAATTTAAAATCACTGTTTTATATTGTAATATATTTTTAGAATGCAATTTATTACAGTGATGGTAAAGAAGCTGAAATTTCAGCATCCAGTCTTTAGTGTCACATGATCCTTCAGACATCATTCTAATATGCTGATTTCAGGCTCAATAAACATTTATTATCAATGCTGAAAAAAAGTTATGCTTCTTAATTTTTATGAAAACTGAGATACATTTCTTTCAGGATTCTTTGATGAGTAGAAAGTTCAAAGCAGTTATTTGAAATAATAAAGACATTTATAATGTTACGCTGGAAAAGATTTCTGTCACTTTTGATCAACTTTCTTGCTACAAAAAAAAAGGAAGTAGGAATACTGACAAAGAAAGAAACAGTAAGACAGACATGACAGAGTTTTGAACTGCCGGTGAATAGTTACATTAGTGGTGCTAGCTGCAGGGAAGTGTAACCACATGTTGTCTGTGACCGCACTCATCTGGCTGAGGGTTGGAGAAGGGGTGCGAGAGCCACCCTCTGGGCCAACTCCACACGCCCTCAACTCCTCCAGCACCGCTGTGGATGCTTCGCTCTGAGTGCGGGAAGAGCAGCGGCTCTGCCCCAGTGGAAGCTCCAAGCCGGGAGAAGGGGTCTCTGGGTGAAGGTCAGGTGCTCTGGAGCTGATGAAATCGAGGGAGAATCTGAGCCGATTAGGGGGTGAGTGTGAGGTCAGTGCTGTTCCAGGATAGGTTTGTTTAAGAAGGACTGGTACCTCAGGCTGAATGACAGAGAGGAGAGTGGCACAGATGAGACTCAGCAGTTGGCACAGCGCGTTTGAGAGATGAAGTGATGTGCTGCAGCGAATGGCTGTGCATTAGAGAGGATGGAGGGGTTACAGATCAAAGTGTTATTCCAATGTTGCATTAAAGCATAAGGCTAAAAGAAGTTTAAAACTTCATCAAGATCACAATGAGGTGACAACCAATTCTAAGCTTTTAAAGTCACATTTGTATTGCAGAAAATATGTATATATAAAATAAATAACAAAACATTGAAATGCCATGGAAAATGTCATATTCACATTATTCGTATGTATCACAAGTAGTAACACATCTCATAATCAAATTACTTTTTTCAAGTAACTAGTAAAGTAACGCATTACTTTTAACTTTACAAAATAATGTCTTACTTTTAATGAGTTACTTTTTAAATTAGTAGCGCAAGTTATTGACTGACACCTCTTTTGTCCCGATGTTTTTGAGTAAGTGCAGATGCGTTGTGTGCGCTGTGTGTAAACATGATAGATATTGTAGTTCTAGACTTAATGTGAGCATTTACTCATCTTGCATAAAAATAGATTCGGTATTCCTCAAAATGAATAAAAACAGCCCAAATGCAAACTGAGAAAATTACGCAACCCTGCAATAATTAAATAAGTTAAATTACACAAATAGACTTTATGTATTTAAACTCACTTTATTAACCAGTGTCTTTGCTGGTCCCCTTCGATGATTCAATTAAACCATACTAATAAGCAAAAATGACTTCAGTTAAACATCACATTTGTTTAATTTTTTATTGCTGAATTAAGAGCGTTGAATTTTCTTCTCCTGCATCCTATTCATCTGCGATTCAGAATGAATCACAGCTGATAGGTTTGTCTGAGATGCGCCCTCTACTGTACAGGTGTGAATTAGAATTTCCTTCATTTCACTTTTGGTGTGAAAGGGCCTTTATGTTTGGCAAAAATAGAAATAAAAAAAACAAGCAAGCAAGCACAGCCCGGCTGAGAAAAAGTAATGAAAACGTAACGTAACACATTACTTTACATAAAAAGTAACTAACGCAATTAGTTACTTTTTTAGGGAGTAACACAATATTGTAACACATTACTTTTAAAAGTAACTTATATATATCAATCAAAAAATATAAATAATACATTTTGATCAAAAATACAGTAATATTGTGAATTTTTTTATGATTTGAATATATAATGACAGGAACCTGAATGTTCTTCAGCAAAATGGAGAAACTGCATTAGTTATGTTTGCTAAAACACGGCATGGCGTAGAGGAGGGTGTTATTACTGTAAGCTAATGGATATGTGATTATGAAATCCGTGACATATACCACTGGAGGGGCTGCAGATGGCAGTGGAGGGCAGGGGCGTGAGTGGCTATCCGGGAGGTCCATCCTTTTAGGAGGGGTAGGGGGTCTCAAAGACAGTGCCTGTGTGCGACGTCCGGATATCTGTGGCATAGGGTTAATGCGAATGGAGAGGGAAGCTACGCGTCTCTCCAACTCCCTAGATGAAGGGTGCAAGTAGGACTGCCCTGCTTGTGAAGAGCATGAGATTTGGTCCTCTGTGGACAGCAGTCTGTGGGAATGGACACTATGCTCTTGTGCCTGATTAAGGAGAGTGGGCAGTAGGATATTAGAGCACAGGTCAGATACTGTTGTTCTGTGGTGGTTCTCTCATTAAATAAGGGTGTGGATGTGGTTGCCTTGGAAAATAATCTCTCTGAGATAAACAGTTGATTGTTATAGTGAGGACATGCATAAGGCGGTACAATTCTGCTGTATTACCATCAGCAGGGCACAACTTGTGTGACAATGAGAAAACAAACATATTACACATACAGAGAAGATTGGATTAAATAATATAATTCATAAATTCTCTGTAGCTGGAAAGAAAATTGAGATTGGGATAGATAGATAGATAGATAGATAGATAGATAGATAGATAGATAGATAGATAGATAGATAGATAGATAGATAGATAGATAGATAGATAGATAGATAGATAGATAGATAGATAGATAGATAGATAGATAGATAGATAGATAGATAGATAGATAGATAGATAGATAGATGTACATAGTACAGAGGTTCATTCAAGTAAGTTGAGAGCTTTTCTTTGTGTTCAGTTTTCAAACTGAGCAGTACGCTAGAAAAGGGTGTGACCGGTACAGTTAAAAATGTCAATAATAAAACCTGTCGAATGGACTTCCACAGGGGTTTCCTGTGGAAGGAAAACCTCCAGCGACAGAAAGGATAAGAAAAACAAATGAGTGAAGTAAACACAGCAGAACGTACTGGTGTGGGAGACTTTTTATCCTGAAAGTTGGGCCTGACACTTCTGTAGCCTTTAGCTGCCAAAGAGGAAGAGCACAGGTCACCATTTCTCAGACCACCACTGGTGCTGCTGCTGGGCCTCCACAAATCTAACAGGAGACAAACAAATCACTTAAAAACGTGTTTAATATTCATATATACAAAATATTTCACCACAGAATGCCACTATTGACCAGTAAGAGAGAATAATATGAGAAAGCTGAGCAGTAACAGTTACATTGTTTTCCAAAGCATATGTGCTTGTTTGTAAAAAATATATTACAGTAAATAAATAAAATAAAGGCTGCTTACCTGAATCGTTGGATTGTGATTCAGAGTCTATGCACAGGTGAAATTGAGATAAGAGAACTTTGTTAAACACTAGCAAGAGATCTACTTTTCAGAGTGAAATGAGGTACACTCTTAGGGCCAGATTTACTAACAGCTTGCGCCAGCGCAAATCCTCTTTTGGCGTTAAAAAACTACTGTCAGGATTTACTAAAGACATGCAGTGAAAAATGTGTGCTGAAAAGGCGTGGACAGGGTTTTTCTCGCGGCTGACCTTATTGTATATGCATTTGTAGGAGTTTCCCTTTCAGACACAAACATGTATGGGAGAGAGTATATAAATTAATAACACAAGGTGATTTATTAAGATTTGCGCTAGTCAATTCACTGGTATTTGCGCCAAAAAAAAGCATGTCTTAAACCAGACGCTAATTTGCGCTGCTCTTGCTAGATTACGTTGGTCATTATGGAAATGATCCGGGTGCATCTGTGTTCTTTAATTTGTGTCATCAGTAGTTCACACGCAGAACTTTCCACTACCATCGGCGTCTTTTTGGAATTGAGCTCATGCTAATTTTCCCTGTTAAGTAAATCTGGCCCTTAAACATAAAAGTTCTTTATTGGCATCAACGGTTTCATGAAGAACCTTTAACATTCATATAACCTTTCCTCTGCAAAAAGGGTCCTTTAAGGTAGAAAAAAAAGGTCCTTTAGATTATTAAAATGTTATTTACACTTAGAAAATGATTGTTCTTTTAAGACCTGCTCACTGAAAGGTTCTTTGGGAAACCCAAAATGTTTCTTTTATGGCATTGCTGTGAAACCCCGCTTTGGGAGTCTTTATTTTAAAGAATATATTCACTCATTACTTATTCGTGTTTTTAGCGGACTATGTGGCTCTATAGTGTGCAAATGTCATCCGTAATTTATTCCAGATGATTCCAGCAGATGAATGGAAGAGAGGAAAATATATGGACAGCATGAAGAAAGAATGAAAGGCGAAGTGGGAAAGTTTTACAAATGAAGGAGGTTTTCCCTTAACATCTGGCAGTCGATTACCACTTCTGCAAACTAATTTCAGAACGGCTCTTTTAAAACACACACTTTAGTCTTAAATAAACACTTGATAAAAGTCAAAACTATTCATTTGATTTCTTTTGTGTATAATGTAACATAAAAACCCTTGCTCATTAAGCACAGTGCTAAATGAACAGCGGTCTAACTCTGTCCTGAATGGGATGTGTTTGTTCCTCGCTGTCTAATTAAACAATGGAGAATATGCGTGTGTGAGGTCATAGTCAGTGAGACTGCTCAAACAAAAAGGGTCACCCCCGGAGGAAACTGTGCCGAGAGGAGACGGGGGGAAAAGCCTGTATACAATTGTTGCCATGGAAGTGCACAACTATGGCAACAATCTGGTCACTGTGAGCAGCTTTTTCCCTTTAAGCAAAGGAAAGGAGAGCTCCAGCTCTCGAACAGTCCTTAAGGAGCTGCGAGCACAAGTTTGAGATGGCGAGCAAGGGTAATAGAGAGAAAGAAAGACAGCCAGGAAGGGAGGTTGTGGTAGGACATAAGATGTGGCAGGATAAAACACAGATGTTGAATGAGTGACGTTGAGTGCAGTGAAGAGGAATTCCTGCTCACAGTGTCTGAGTAAACACACCGTCACATTTAACACCAGCAGAGTAAATACTCCACTGCTAACATATAATGCCTATGACTAACAAGCAAACATGAACCATTCGTTGGCAAATATTTAAATGTTAATGAACTAGTTTTCAATGCATTGTTGTAGTTTTATGGCAATATGATCTATGAAGCTCTATGAGTGTGATCTGTTTCCTGTACGGGAATGATACCTGTGAGCGTGCATAGGTTTGGTGAGCTCTGGATTCTCTTCATGGGGGTTAGAGTGAGTAAAAGCGTGGCGCTTTTGCGGATCTGTCCTCCACTGTCTGTGAAAAGTGCAGTAGCACATGCAAACACAAATGCACATGCATCAATACTGCTGCATGACAAGATGACTGTGACTTACAGCAAGCAGGGTAATGTGAAACATGACCTTAGCAACACGACAATATACATTTCCAAAACAATTTAAGTGCAAGGTGGATTAATGTATGTGTGACGTATATGCTTGGTTTACAGTATCTACATGTTGAATGGCTGAATGTGCTGTGCTCTGACTGACTAAATGTTTTAAACTGCTGCTTTTCAGTGTCTTTGGACAGGGTTCCCGCACCTTTTGACCTAAGATTTTCCATGATTTTTCCGCGACTCCCTTTCCATTTCCATTTTCCAGTCATTACAAGCACGTGGTTTAAAACTATTTTGTGTATTGACTATAGAAATTCATATAACTTTTTTAAATGTTTTTAATACCAGACTTTTCAGCTCCTGGAAATCACACTTTTAAAATGTACTGACATTTTTCCTGGATTTCTCTGGTTTTACCTTTTACTGCTGTGTAAACACTGTGTATTAGCAAATACAAACCATTCAAAAGTTTGGGGTCAGTAAGATTTTTTTTTTTTTTTAAGAAAAGTAACAGTAACTAAAAAACATTTACATTGTTACAAAAAAATCTGTTTTAAATGAATGCTGTTCTTTTGAACTTTCTATTCATCAAAGAATCCTGAAAGAAATGGGTCATGGTTTCCACAAAAATATTAAGCAGCACAATTGTTTTCAACACTGATGATAATGAGAAATGTTTCTTGAGCAGCAAATCAGCATATTATAATCATTTCTGAAGGGTTATGTGACACTGAAGACTGGAGTAATACCTGCTGAAAATTATATTAAAATAGAAAACAGTTACTTTAAATTGTAATAATCTTACCAATCACAAACATTCGAACAGTAGAGTATATAGCAGTGTATTAAACAGTGTATTAAACACCATAACATATAATATATAGCAACAATTTTATTTTGTGCATTAGCCTTAAAGTGATAGTTCACCTAAAAATGAAAATTCTGTCATCATTTAGTCAAGCTGTTCTAAACGTGTATGAGTTTCTTTGTTCTGCAAAGAAGATATTTTGAAGAATGCTGGTAACCAAATAGTTTCTGGTCCCCATTGACTTCCATAGTCCTGGCATCCAAGGTTGCCACAACCGAATCAGAACCTAAAACTGAGGACACTACGAGATGAATCTTGCAGATTGTCAGAATGTCAATGTTGGCACTGCCAGATGTAGCCTGATGGGTTTCCTCTTTCCTGACTGCTATACCTCTGGATGTCAAAAAGGCAGTTTGGATGCCAGACTCTAAAAAGACAGTATTCTCAGAGACAGTCAGCCAAGAAATAAGAACACCCCCCTGCACAGCTTTTCCCACAATCCCTGAGATGAATACAAAATCACATGCTCTGCCCGACAAAAACAAGTCCTGTTGGGTCTGTGTGAAGGGAACGGCACATTTTCACTCCTTTCTGCCTCACAACACTTGATTAGAGTCAATTTTGTGTAAATTGTTCACTGTATTAATTATTTGTATACGTTGTTGTGGCTGGTAGGCAGTGTTCCCTCTCCTTTTTGTTCTTGCTGAGCCAAACCTAATTCTACTGGGTGGACCCTTCAGCCAGCTATAGTAAATTAATCAATTAAATTAAGTAATTTACGATTCTACATTTATTATGTAAATATATCATTAATAACAAAAAAGATGACAGAAGTTTTGTAGAGGGCACAAAAGCATGAATCAATGCGGCGTATTTACAGAACAAGATTTCAGTTCCACATTGAAAATCAATAGACATATGGATGGACTCTTTAAGCTGAAATGTGCAGCTTAAAACTGTGTTTTAAGAAATCTCTAGCTGTTAGCCATATATTTTTTGTCTGGCTTCTAAGTTTTTCCTGTCTATCTGGGAGCAGCATCAGATGTGCACATCTGCGAGGGAACCTGGTAGCCAGAGGAGCTATTCCCTTACAATATTTTTTTTTTTTTTGCTGTGGTGTTACAGTATCATTAAGATCTGATGATGACAAATGGAAAAACCATGGTTCTTTGATATACACTAACTAAGTTTAAGGTAATTTAAAAAAAAAAAAAATGTTTAATCAGCATAGATGCATTAAATTGATCAAAACGGTTTAAAGTAAAGATGTTCATAAGGTATATCATGACTTTTGCATTGACTCTCCAACCTCAAACACATTTTTTAAATCAAATTGTGCCTGTCAAAAATTACCATTGCAAATTCCCAAAAACCATGGTATTATCATACCATGTCAAAAAACACGACAATGCCAAATAACATTTTATAAAAAATGTCTTGATATTTTAATTTTCCTTAAAACGATTTCAACCATGGAAACTGAAACTGATTTGAACTAACCTGTGTTCATGTTGAAGATCTCTCCTTCTTGTGTCTTGATGTCACACAGTCCTGAAAGACATATCAATAAGAATCAGTCAGCAACCCGTACTCCTGGGTAAGTAAACCATTGATTTATCCGCGTATACAGCATGTATGAGAGCAGGTAGAGTGGTATTGGCTTCCCATCTCTCCCCGGCACAGCAGCATGCTAGCAAGTGTCTAATGTGGCTGGTTAACATCCCTCTTGGGATATGAGGCCCTAGAGTGAAAGGTGATACAAGCCTGGCGTTTCAGCTCAGAAACACGCAGCGCAGTATCAAAATACACACCATACATACACATATATCCTCACGCATTCTCTGATCTTACACATGACCACTTTTGGTGTGTTAGAGCTTAACAACTCTTAGAGTTCGTTGCCAGCAATGTACAGCCGTCCGTCACACACTAGTAGGGGGGCTATTGTAACTAATTAAACCCCTGTTTAGTTTGACCTAGATTACTAATTTTTCAGTGATAGATTAACAGCCCATGTGACCCTCCTCCGGAAATATCGCACTTATTTTAGCACTAGCTGAATATTTCAGGGATGGTCTATGATAGGAACACTGTCATTTAATCACATTATTACATTACTTAACTCATCAGCAGAGGCAAAGCACTGCAAATATGCCAGATAGGAGACACCGTGAGTGTGTGCTCATGTGCAAGACGCATGTCTAGCTTTCAGAGTGCCATGGCAGGCACGTGTGCCACTTGTCACACATACGTAGACCACCCGTCGTTCAACACCCAAAGTGTGCTGCACCTGAGACCATCCTTTGATAGCGGTATGCTATGCATTTACAGGTCATGACAAGAGAGAGGCATTCAAATTTGATATTCTAAACCTTTTAAAGGGATAAATGAAATTTCTGTCATCATTTACTCAGCTTCATGCCATTCCAAATATTTAAAATTATGTCAGGCAGTGTTCGTGCTGTTCTTTTCCATGTAATGAATGTAAGAAGGGTGACCAAAAATGACAAAGAGTACCATAAAAGCATCATAACAGTAGTCCAATTTGCTGTGTTGTCTTTGGTTAAGTGTCACCTGGCATCTTATGTACTTGTATAAATATTATTTGTATATTATATTTTACATTTAGTCTAAGCTTTACTCATTTTGTTTTGTGCTTCTGTCATTTTAATATTTTATAAAATGTTCCTGTTTAGCTTTATTTTTATTTCAGTTTTAGTTTTTAGTAATTTTAGTATAACTTAAACATTTTATTATATATATATATATATATATGTGTGTGTGTGTGTGAATACTTCTATTTACTTCTATATATTAATAATTACTATTTTTAATAGTTTTAGTATTCGTTAACATTAACAAGACCGATAACAACGTTTGACTTTTCCTCACAAAAGCTATCGTATAACATCATATGATTTAGAATACAGCATATGAGTCAAATGGACCACTTTTGTAGTGATTTATTGTAATTCTTTAAGCTTAACAGCCGCTGTTCACCATTCACTTTCATTTTATGAAAAAGAGCAGTGTCAACATCATCCTCCTAAACTAAACTGAACTACAAAAAACAAAAACATAATTTTGGGGTGACCTATCTCTTTAAAAAAGTTTGTAAATTCCAAATTCAAAAAAAAAAAAGTGTCACATTGTATCATCAGTTCTGTATAAAGGTAAATAAATAATCAGCATCAGCCCTTAATAAATCATTGAGCCAAACAGGATTGCCCCATGCTGAGTCTCATTAAAAAACAGACCCAGAGGTCATCCTCAAAATAAATCTTCAGACACCACAGCCAATAAATCTGGATAAAAACACAAGGGACAGTTTTGCCTGAGACACCACTGGACTTTGCTAAATCACAGGTTGTAATGAACTGTCAGCAGTAAAAGATTATGATATTGGATTTCAAGGGTGCAGACTTGTGGCGACAGAACAGCTGGAGGGGAAGGGAGCTGGACACTCGCCTAAGAAATGGACATAGCTCCACATTTATATTCATGAGCAGGGCTCACACTGGTCATTTACTTATCTATCCAAACATTAGGAATCATTCTGTCAGGGGAAATGTCAGAGACAGCCAAGCCAATAAGCCATGCTAATTTCCATTGCCATCAATATTTCAATGCGCTCGTCAAATAAATAGCTCCACCACGAAAACGCTCCGAGAGCACATGCAGTAAACATTTTATGCTAAAAATGAATTTAAAATGCTAGAAGACTGAGCATGCCTATCAGAAAAATTGCAGGGCGTGAATTCAAAATTTTGCAGCATTTAAGTTCCCAACACCTTAAACTTCTATAACATGGAATGTTTCTGAAGACAGCATAGCCAGAGGGAAATATTATATGTAATACTCTAGGACTAGGTAATAAATCCTTAATAGATTAAGGAATTAAAATTCTGAAGAAGCAGATGAAGATTTTTGCCACTTACTGGACTTGAATGTGAAACATTGAATGGCCTACAAGAGATTAATGACAGTTCCAGTTCCAGATTGAGCTGCGAATGGGTCCCAAACAGAAATAAGTCATCAACTAGGCTTTATCGTTATTATCGCAGGAAGACTAATTCTTATCGTGAGGAGAATTTTTACCGGTATATCGCAAACGATAATATATCGCCCATCCCTAGTCAAAAGCAAACAGATCTCATTACAATCACTGACGTTGTCTAAACTGAATACAGTATACAGATGCGTGTTCAGTTTCTTATATACTCCACGCACTTGAGTCTGTTGACAGCAGAACAAATGGAAGAGTGGAAAAAACATTCAATTTGACAAGTTCAATTTCTTGTTTGCGTCTCTGTACAGACTTCAGAAGGATCCCAGTGTCGGAAACAAGTGGATGGTTTATTTTACCCGTCTAAATATTATATGTTTGTTCAGAGCATTTTATTTTGTATATGAGGCACAGAGGAGAGTTCGCAAAGAAACTTTTTTGTTAAAAGATGAAGCAGTCAGCTGTATTGAATATGACAGCAGCTGCATCACAAACCCTAAGTAAATGATTTCATAATGCTTTGTCTATAAACGACGGTTTCATAATGTTTTCAAAACACTTGTTCACATGCAATAGCGAGTAGGTGTTGATACTGTTTCCTATGCAATGACCTAAGCAAATCATAATAGTGCCCGTTTACTGACACGCCTTAAAGGAGCCGCCCCTTAAAAATGGATAATTTCAGAAAGAGGGTCAGAATGAAGGTTGAAAATAAACATTTTTCCAAGTATATGTTTGTTTGTTTTTTGTGCAAAAAACATTATTAACATTATAAGTGAACCTCAGGGAACATATTAAAATAATTATGCCATGACCCCTTCAAATTGGGTCAGTTTTAATTTTACAATGTTTGTAAACAACCTGAGCCAATTTTATGTTAATTAAAATACACACTCGTACTGTTTGTACATGCATGGTACCATGGCGATCATGTTGCTCTGTTTTGATGGCTTATTTATAGTCAGATTTGTCAGACTTCTGCGTAAGGACTGGACACGGGCCATTTTCACAAGCCTAACAGCCTTTTACCAGAAGTTAGGGATGAAACCATGTCATAAGTAGTCTCCATGAGTAGTGCTCAAATGCCAGGACAGGAAAAGATTAAAAACAGCTATGCTGCCAATTTAGAGCTAAGAGAGAGCTGAAGGCATTAATGGATTCAGTCTTAACATTTATTAGTCTGTTTATTTGTGATGAATTATTCAATGTTCAAAGGCCAGAATGTTTTAAAGGCTATAATGTGTTGTCTTCAAAGCAGCTTTATGCACTCTAGTTATACAAATATTATTTAGATTTACATATATATTTATGCAGATATGAAAGCCACAGAGTCAGGCCTATGCACCAAACATATAATTTAGAGGGACATTGCTTCTGCAAAAGTAAAAAAAACAAAAAAGTGATCAGCTTTATAGACGATAAAACCAATAAATATAGGGTTTGTAATACTTTTAGTGGTGTTGGTTTAAGTTCAAATTTAAGAGCATAATTAGAACACATCATTAAACAAAAGCTGAAATATCAGCTCTAAATGGAATGTTCTACCACAGGATACTTATAATAATACGATAACAGTAATTGCATTCCCTTTGAAAGCTATGGATTCTGCTGATGCGTATCCTACCTGATGGAGATGCTATTATGGATGTCTTGAAATAGATGTCCTCAGAAGAGCAATTTAATGGTTACATTATGGCTCCTGCCTTTCCTGACAGTCAAAACATAACATTCGAGTAATGGGCTCTCTCAAATCCCCAAAGTAAGACAGTAATATGCTGGATATGCTGCTTGTATTCTCCAAAATAGGAAGAATCTCTTTCTTTTCATCAGGGATTTCCAAACAGGCTATTTATATGAGCATCTCAGTCAGGACACAAGAAGTTCTATGTTCTCCTAAATGGTAACTTCGGAATCACAATTACATTAAGTCGGGAACTGTGCATGTTTGCTGCTGTGCTTTCTGTTTGATGCAATGAGTCCCACACATATTTTCTAAAGCCTCAGATAATTGTTTAAATTGTTCCCATGTGTTTTAGGAGTATAATTTCATTTCTAAATCCAGCTCCTAATACAACATAGCTGTGTAGTACTCAAATTGAATACCTAAGAGTGATAAAGCTTTTGAAACAACAACTAAAGTAAAGCCTTAACTTAACTTTGGATGAATTTCATTCGATGTGTTCAATGGATTATGTTCAGTGAACGGTATCATTTTACCTGGGAAATAGAAGATGAAATAGATTAAATGTTCAATAGCTTTTTGTATCCAAGAAATTAAAATATAGATATGTAACCTGATGGATTTTCACTGGACTAAAAAGTGAAATTGCACTGATATTGGCAGAATGAACACACATGGCGATCAGTACATCAAAACCTCAAATCATGTTGATAACGTCTCCAAATTTAGTTTAGAGTAATGGGTCAGAGTTGAGCACAACATACTTGAACAACTGCTATTTTCGAGCCTTGCTGATAGAACTTGGTTTATGCAACTTCGAGTGGGTCACAATCCAAATATGGCACGGGCCATTACAGCTCAAGG